ATAACCAAAACGTCTTTTTTCTAAAGTCAAAAAATTTCTCTCTTATAGGTTCCGCCTAACTTTTTCCGCAAATCTGGTCCTTTCGACCTAAAAATTATTGATCCGAGCTCAGAAGGCCTATATTCTTCTAGTTCAATGCAAAAGACCCGATCTCAAACGCTTTAGTTGAAAAAATTTGCGAAAAACTATGCTACCTGTACCCCTCCGGATTGATGAATCCACCAAATCAAACACGTTAAGTTCGATTTCTCTAAAACCCGGAAGGCTTTCGGCTAGCTGGTTTTAAAACTTGTAGGTTCACTAGTGGACGTTGTCCGAACAACTATTTTTACTGTTCTAACTCAAAAATTTCAAAACATTTTCTAAATTTATATTGTTTCGTTTTCTCAAAAATCACGAAATTTCGGTTTTCGGTACCAAAATAGTTGCAACCACTTTCGAACTAAACTTAACCGGTTCTATCTATTATGGTAGTGCAGTTACGATGTAACACACTAGTTAGCGCTTTTTTCCGTTTCAAAAAATATCGATATCTCAAAAATCGCGACTTGTGGGGGGATCAAAATATTGCTATTTTGACCCTAAAAACCGGTCTGCTTTCTGTGTTTTTCACTGAAAAACGGTATAAGAGTAATAATATAGGCTATACTAGTAATAATATTAGTAATAGTATACCCCTCCAGGTTTGTTTAATATCCGAATTAAGGTGCTTAAAACGGATATTCGCAGTTCGGTGAAGGGTCACTACAGTGCAGCACTGTCGAGCCCCCCACAGATTACTATCTTACTTTTTGTACCAAAAGGGATACAAAACTTGTTAACGATACCCAACAGTCGATTGCTGTTGTCGTTGAGCCCCTTCTTGTTGCTCCTTGTACTGCTTGCCGGATCAGTCTCCTCCCAAGACCATTCCGAATTGAGCGCAAATCAGCTGACCCTTCCGGATTGAGCGCAATTTATCATTAACGTGCTTAAATGCTCAAATAACCCTACAGTACAAGCCTCACAAACGGGCTACAAAACTGATCGTAATGATCCTGACTGATTTAAATGCCTGTAACAACAATATATCTATCAACAACAAACGGGAGGGTCGGATCACATCTTGTCTGGGGGGATGATTTCTACTGATTTTTTACATTTTTTTTTTACTGTTTTTGGTTTTTTCGGTTATTTTTTATGTTTTTTGTTTTCTTGGGTACTATACTACTTTTTGTTTGGTTTTATATATATCTTTAAGTGCTTTTGGTCACAAACCATTCAGGAGATGACGGGACCGCGAATCCCCCCACCCTTCCTGGTTCGTGAATTTTCGGTCTTAACTAGGTTAAAAACCTATTCACGGTAATCCAGAAGGCTTCCGCGTTCCGAACTACCCTTCCGCCCCGGCGGTTTAGGCCTATTAAGGGTGTTAATGTGAGCATCCGCTCGGCGCGGAGTGCTCGTTAACGGTTCTGCCGGTCATGATGTTAAAAAAGAATAACACCCAGGTGCGCCATAAAAACATGTATGTAACATTCGCCCGGAAGATACATATCGACGGAAAATAAAACTAAGTCCTAAGACGACTGGCTAACGTCTAAACAGAGCTTTATATGCTTTTCACCGTCTCTACCAAGCCAGTACTTTCGGTGGTCTTTTCTAACATCGGGTCGACAAAAAACGTTACTGCTTTCGGCTTCGGTCAAAACACTCAAATTAACTTAATTACATGCAGGAATAGTGAGCTCCTGGCTGGGTCTCAGTATCCCCAGACCACGAGGTCACTCCTAAAAACAGGGCTACTACTATTTATTGAATTATTATTGTTTTTGTTCAGTAGATAAAAATCATCATCTCCATCGAAGATGGATCAACCCTTTCCCCCAACTCCTAGCTTCTCATCTTTATCAAAATGAATCCAGTTGTTAATTAAATTCATTTCAGGACATGACAGGAAGCTAAAAGTTTATATAAAGTGGTAAAAGTCTCAGTCCCGAAACCCTTCCGGATTCTTGAATCCACTGAATCAAGCACGTTAAACTTGACTTCTCCGTAACCCGGAAGGCTGTCTTCCACCCTTCACCGTTGTTCGCAACGGCCTTGCAACTATTGTACCGACACAATAGTTGCAACTCGGAACGTTTTCTGTCAACTCCGTGATTCGTTGTCGTTTCTTAATCACTATTTCCGTTCTTCTCGCAATCGCCACTAATGTTGTTCTGTTGCTTTGCAGCTTTTCTGCCAAAATGGCCGTTTCTGACGTTTCTCAAAATTTCAAAATACTAGAATATCTTGACCTTCACCGTTCTACTAATCATCCGAATAACGTCGTTAATCCTTCAAAATCACTAACTCGGAAGGTTCACTGCTAAAAATTCGAAATCTGGTCGAATGTCACAGGACTTCTGATTGTAACCTCGGTTACTATGATACTTTCGACCTTCAAATCTAATTACCAATCGAAATTTTGAATTAGATACTCAAGTGAGCAAGTTTTGTTTTATGCCAGAGATTAAAAATACTCTTAGTCAATTGAAAAAATTCAGAATGCGTTTTTGATGTTTAACATGATGGTTTAACATGATGGTTTGAATGGATGGTTTAAATGGATGGTTTAACATGATGGTTTGAAACCAAAATTGATGCCACATTTTGGTAATAATAGTTTTGACTTGATGGGTTTTCGTCATTCAGATTAGTTAATTGTAAAATTCCTGACTATTTGTGAAAACGTTGAAATACATTTAGAATCCTCCAAGTTTCCTCAAATTAACTTGACAGTTCGGAAGGAGTAGAACTGGAAAGGGGCACGTTGTGGTTTCTAATACAATTGGGTCAGTAGTATTTCGTCGCTGTTAGTTTAAGTTTGCAAGTCTGCAGATATCCACTGGTGACTGATGTCGGCACGTAAAATTAAAATGAGGATTAATAGACTGAGCAGCCCATCCGACCTTGGCTGCTCCGAAAACAAAAACCCGGTTGGAGCCTGCAATTGAAACGGAGGGTTGCGTGGTGTCATCAGAGATGACTGTAGTCACTCGTGTTCATCGCGAGAAGGCAGCACTGGTGGACCCACATATGTAGCATTCGCAACCTGTACTGCGAGGGAGGTTCTCTGTTTAAGAATGCTACCCTCCTTGGGTTTCTCAGTACATGTGCTCAAATTCTTACAGCTTACTTTACAAAAATTCCAGTGCTAGGACAGGCCGTGTTCTGAACTTCAAAGGCTATAATATTTGAAAAGGATAGCCATCATAAAATGATTCTCTTTATTTGTCAGTTTACGGTCTTCGCTTCAGTACGAGTCTGTTTTTTTTTCTTGGTTGTTTTTGATTTCGTAACAATGGGACAGGTATGGTAGTTGGGCTGCAAAGAATAGTTACCATTATTATAAACGCATAGGCATAAGTAATGCACTGGGATTTCAGATCAGTTAGCTATAAAATGGGTGATAATCTCATTAATGTAATGGTAAATCAAGAAGATGTGAATGTTGATCGCGCTGTTCGTTGGGTAGCTGATAAATCTTGTGGAGCAATTGTTACTTTTCTTGGATTTACCCGCGAGGATAGCAAAGCTGATAATTCGGGTTTGAAAACAAAGTTTCTTATTTACGATTGCTTTCATGAAATGGCGCTGAAAGAGTTACATCGCTTGTGTCAACTTTCAATGACTAAATATGCAATCAGGTAATAATCAACAACGGATCAGTTGAGCGGTTTATAGGCAGATTTAGGTTAAGGCTCTACTCATCCTAGTAACATTTTGACTTCACCGAGAATGGACGCGATATTTTGAGTCTTTAATTTACAATGAGTTTTGTTTGGTCTTTGAAGCTTTTTTGGATTTCCATTCAAATGAAACTAAGTTTGGACAGCAAGTTGCTGTTCCGACCACTGAAAGTGGGGAGGAACTTTGTATCGGGGTGTGTTTTTTTGTTGTTCACCTAAAAACAGGTAAAACAATCGTCGGAAATGAGTGACATATCATATAAAATTCCTTGCAGCGGTGATTCAAAACTTGAAAAAAATTTCCAAAAAATCCCTGCAATGTAGAGAAAAACCGGTTTATAATTTTTGATTTGGTCTAATTTCGAGTGATAGCGAATTTTAATCCAGGAATACTAGTTTTTGGAGACTTGAAAACTGAAAAATCTTTAAAAATGACAGAACAAATTCTGCTAAAATTTTGAAAAAAAGTTTTTTGATAATTTGTTTGATACAACGTTGTCAAATATGAGTATCCTACGCGTATTATCGAATGTATATTTTTTCTAGGCTTTCGTTCAGGTCCGCTGTCAGCCGAACGAGCAAAAAACATTACAATTTGCAAAAAAAAGTTTCTAGATGGAACTTTCTGAGCTTCATGCACAGCAACCGTCTATTCTTGTTTTTGGTTATATTTAGATCTATTTATATACATCATAAAACTGGAAAAGTTGACTTGGGAGAACCTTCCATTGTCGTTGCTGTCTCCTCGCCGCATCGCACAGACAGCTTAAAAGGAGTAGATGTGAGTTTTTGACCAAGAACATCTTGTTGAGCGTTCACCTATTTCGTTGAAAGCGCGTGTTGATTTTAAGGAGCTGATGACGTTGATCAAAGCCAAGGTTCCAATTTGGAAGACCGAATATTTTGGATCAGAGGATTCAACGGAAACTACAGCAAGTCTCAGTCTTGTTAAAGAAAATATAGAGTTTGGACAGTTTTTCTCAGAAAGAATCTAATTTTTCTTGACCGAATTGAGCTTTGAATTTTTGTACGCGCATCAGATTGCAGATTGGTGCTAATTAAATTTTTTTGGTGTATGTAACTTGAGCTAGATTCACGACTTACGAGAGAAAAAAATTGAGTTTGTACTCGTTCCTGAGGAAAAATAACGTACTGGTAATGTCAAGTGGATTTCTCTCAGTAGCGTGTTTGTCTCGTTGAAATGATGGAAAGTGTACCTGTTATTATCGTAACGTCGTAAAGTCAATATATTGCTTTTCAAATCGACGATTCGGTTGAATTCAGATTATGTATGCAACGTCAGTTCCCACATCTAGCAATAGTTTCCTAAATATCGTAGTGGAAGGATGTTGCCATGGTGAGCTTGACCAAATATACAACACTGTAAATAGAATATCACAAGAGGAGGGAAGTTGTGTAGACCTGCTGATCATCTGTGGTGATTTCCAGTCTGTGCGAAATGAACAAGATCTGGCCTGTTTGGCATGTCCGCCGAAATACAGAAAGATGAATACGTTTTATAAATATTATTCAGGTAATTTAAAAGTTGAGAAAGTGTTGATTTCAGTATCGCTTGTAGAACTACGAAGAATTTATAATGAACTCAACTGGGAAACATTCTATCAGTAGCTGCAAATCCAATCCAAAACCACAGCAACAACTACCATTTAGCTTGAAAAAATAAACGTCCACTGGTTTACTGGTCTTGAATAATTTTCAGTTCTTCTCAAAATCGAATGCGGTTTTTGATGCGGTACGCTGTCATGATTAGTTGAAAATTTGCATTAAAGAAAGAATGCTCTTTGAAGTACAAATGTCTGTGAACAGGGCTTTTTGGTTAAGTTAAGATAAATATCTTCTTATCTGCAAAAACAACAAATGTAATCAAAACGCTTTAGGTGAAAAACGCGCGCCCGTTTTGACTCTGTTTGTGGGCGGAAATCATGAGGCTAGCAACTACCTGGCAGAACTCCCTTACGGCGGCTGGGTCGCTCCCAATATTTACTACATGGGCTGGGCGGGAGTTGTCAATTTCTGCGGTATCACGATAGCAGGTAGAGTTACCTAATTCTTGGTTTTAAGAACCAACAAAGGAAAAGCCGGGAGCTAGACTTTACGATTGAATAACTTTTCCTACAAATCTGTTTTGAACGTGCAGTTGCTGATTTAGGTTTTTATGTCTCTTATGACGGTCATATGCCACAATCTTTCGACAGAATTTTAATTTTTACGCTTGTGATTAGGAAGCAATAGCAAATAGGAAGAAGCACAGCGGGTTACTGTGCAAGTAGCACAGAATGTTCCGGCCATAGTCCTAAAAATAGAAATTTTTTTACATTTGCAAAGCAAAGTGTATTAGTATGAACTTTCTTTGTTTTCCAACCTAAGTCGTAATTAAAAGTGCTACTTTTGGTGGCACTTTTGAATCGGTAGGCTGCAGTAGCAGTATAATGTCATATGTGCTTTGACATTTGATTAGTAAAAGTTTAACAAAGTTGATGCATTTTTAATTCCTCACATGAACCGAAAAAAGTTATTGGTTTCAAACAGCAGTACAATGATAAAAAGTTCGATTTTAGAAATTTTCCAGCTCAATGTATTGAGCAATTTTTTAAAAATGCATAATTTATACCTAATTATGCTTTATGCTTTCCAATTTATTACATGCAAAACTGTCTTTTTGTATTTGATGCTACTCTTGCTGCATCGAATTGCAATTTTTTAGCATATGTAGCTGCGTTATTGGTGGCTAGTTTTTGGGGATTTTAGGCATCCATGTCTGAGTGCTTAGTGCGTGAGACTCAAATTTGCTAGGTCGTAGTTATGAACCCGACTCGTAGCCGAGTTTTTGCTAATTCGAGGCCTATTTCTCCACTTGATAGAGCTGCTTTTTGGTCGTGTTCTCCTAAGTGTTTGCGAAGCACAGCTTTGCCTCTGTGTATGAATTATTGTCGTTTTTTTGCTTGGTATGATAAAAGGAACTGAGCGTAAGCTAGAGCTTAGTTATATTTATCAGTCATATTAAAATAGCCAAATTGGACAACAATTTCTGTAGAAAATTGACAATAAAAACAAAAAATCCTTCAAAAAATTTTTTTTCAGAAGTTTATTAATTTTTTTGATAACCAAAATGGCGCTAAAAAGCTCCAAAACTTAGCAATACGCAACTAAAACTAATTTTTAACGGCTTAATTAAGCAGAGATAAATTTTTTAAATTTTCACTGCATAAATAAGACTGCTCGCTCCTGGTAAATGCTATCTCTAGGGTTTCGATATTGATTATTTCTGAGTATTTTTCAGCTTCATGGCTTAGCTTCCGAATTTTCGGCCTAGCTTACGAATTGTTAGTTTGATTAATATGTATGCCTGTTCTTATGCAATATTGTATTTACGAACAGTACAAGGTTTTTGTTTGAATTTGTTTATTCGGCTTCAACTCTATTGACTTACACATTTGTTTTTGCGTTGTTTGAAAGGAAAACTTATTCTTATAGTTTTGTATTTCCGGAGAGTGGGAGCGGGCGTATATATTTTGATTTTCAAACTTATGAAGCGATGTATTAGAAGGACCTTCTTTTTTTTCTAACCCAAGTCGCAAACAAAAGTGCTCATTTGGTGGCAAATTTGGTATATTTCAATTTAATAGGCTTATTTAAGCATAAACAATTTAATAGAATAAGTTGCTGCTTTATTTCTGGCTAGTGTTAGGTCCTAGTTCAATAAAAATATATTATGAAAATGTATGAGATTTGTTGTTTTTCGTTGTTTTTTGGAACGCATGGACATTTTTTTTGCTTTTTTCGCAGAAATGTCATTTTTTCTCAAAAACCACTCAGCCGGTTTTCATAAAAATTGTATCAATGGAAAACAGGCTGCTCTTCTAGGTGCCTGCATATTTCGTACATACGTTATTTACAGGTTCTACGGCCTTCGAAATTTTCAGTAGGGGATTTTTTGCGCACTTCTGTGGACTTTTTCATTTCCTCAAATATTATATGCGCAAATCAGAGATGAACAATCAAAACAACCATTTATGGGATATCCTGTTCTCAAGCGGCTATTACCGAAATTCAGTAGAAAAAAGTTATAGTCTTAAACAAGCTCATTTTATGACATTTTGGTTAATTTTTAAAACATATTTTTTCTCAAAAACTACCCTGCAAAATCGGAGATTAGTGGTTTAACCAAAAAATAAAATCATTAGTGCGAATTTTACCTGGGCAAGCGGCTATACCCTGCCGTTAACAAAGTATTGCCTTAGAAAATGTGCAATTTTTGAAATTTCGCCAGTTTCAAAAACCCAACTGTTGAATTTGAGGTTGATAGTTGATTACACAAGCATAGCTTGTGTGATAATATGAACTCTCTTTTTTCCAACCTAAGACGCAAATATTGGTGTTCATTTTGTAAACAAGCAAAGCTTGTGTGATTTTGAAAGTGTTCATTTTGATCAATAACCAGCTATTCATTACAGCCAATAACCAGCTATTCAGTACAGCCAATTAACACAGACTATTTTATTACAAAAAGCACTTTAGCCTAAAGGTATCATGGATCTGTAGCGTAGAGGTAGGGAAGGATACCCGCAACAAATTATGAGGGTTCGAACCTGGGCAGTGTCGGATGTTTTTAATGAACTTTTTCGTTTACTAGTTAAAATGCGTCCGCTCTATAAATTGAGTTGGTAAATCCGCTCTATGTTAGTTGGTAAATTTCTCTTTTTCAAATTGACCGGCACTGCTAATGGGTCATAATTGGCATGTATCACTTAGCAGTTATGTAGGCTCGTAATTGGCGTTCGTCAATTAAGAAATTTTTGAAGACTCAATGTTCTACTCATTCAGTTTTTCCCAGTAGCGTGCGTTATCGGTCATATTTTTGCTTATGTATGCGAAGTGCATTTTCGGCTCTGTGTTTAAATTAACATGGCGCTTGGATTTCGTCTGCGTAATCTGTTTACTCTGTTTCTTAAAATAAAAAAGCTGTAATAGAATTCGGAAAAATTCCTTTTTAAATTTTACCTTTTTAAAAAATAAATATCGTCACTATTCTCGAAAACGTCTTGCTAAATCTGATGTTAAGGACTCAATCTACACAATTAGGACGCGGAAATCTTCAATCTAGAAATCATGGTGTGGCAAGCAGAGGCTATTCCCATGCTTTACTAGAGAAAAATTTATGGATGTAGGAAAAATTGATCGATTTTTGGAATCCTTTTGACTTTTTTGAAAGCTGCCCAGCCAAATCTGAGATAAAGACTTCAATTTAAAGAGCGAGTAGTAGTGTTATTCTTTAAATACGCACTTTATCCCTTACTTGAGCAGAGGAACAATAGGGTTTAGCGTGAAATCCATTTTTTAAACTTTGAAAATTACGCATTTCCTTACCAGTAAAAAATATGATTTAAAATATGATTCAACATATTAGAACAGCTAGATTCAGCATTAGCTGGGCCTTCAGCATTCTGGAGCATTCAAAGTTTTTGCTGCATAACCTTGCTAGTTTATTAAAAGCGGTAGCTGCTTAATTGGTGGCTAATGTTAGTAAAATTAACAGTGGTCGTAGAGCAGATGTGAGAACGTGATATTCCTAATCTCAACAAAAAAATTTTCAAGTTGTGTTTTTATCTTATCGTTATTTCACTTTGTTTTGCCAGTTTAGAGCTCTTTCTTTTGTATTTTTCTAGCTTGTTTTTGCGAGCAGCTTCGCCTGTTTTAGTTCATCAAATAAACCGAAAAACGTGATTTGTTTCAAGCAGCATAACAATAACGAAAACTCAATTTCAGAAATTTTCTAACGCAATATATCGCAATTTTTTTAAATGCATAATTTAAACATAATGTGGCTTTATGCTTTACGATTTGTTACATGCAAACTTGCGTCTTTTTGTATTTATTGCTACTTGAGCTGCTTTTTGGCCGTGTTCTCGCAAGTGTTTGCGAAGCCCAGCTTCGCCTCTGTCTTGAAACTTTTTTTTTATCTCGGACTGACGTCTACCCGAGTATTTTTGGCCTAGTTGCCACTAGTTTTTTTAGCGCTAACAGTTACGTTTCTCGACTATTGTATTTTCCTCATCTCGATCGTCTTTCGAGACAAATGTTTGAAATTTTCGTAGTTTTCCAACACTCTTCTTTTCAATTGTTCTGACCAGCATAAAGGCATCCTTCTCGTTTTCTGAATGCTAGCTTACAGTTTGTGGTATCACAAGTGGTGCAATCCTCATCTTCGCTAGTGTTAATCAGCAATTTTTTGCATGATTTTTATTAACGTTTGAAAGATTAGTTTATTTTCGTATCGCAAAGCATTTTTTTGTTTCTCCAATACAATGCATCATATTAATGACTTAGATGATTCATGTTTTGTGATCTTTCTTTTCTTTTTTGTTCAAAATTGTTTTGAACAAAGTTTTGGATTTAAAAAGATTTATTTTCCTCGTATGACAAACTTTTCTTCGTTTCGTGCGATTTATCGGTTTGCCAATGTTTCATCTGTTTCCGCACGGTTGAAAAAAATTAAGAACTATGTATCTTATGTTATATTTATATTTTTCTTTTCAACTTGTATTTTGTATTGCAAGTAATTCAAAGCTCTGGTTCGCCTCTGTGTGTCGTATTGAATTGAGCTTCCAGCTTTTATCATTTCTGCACCGCATGATTTTCAGAATGAATCATTTTGGTATTGTGTTCGGGTATCTTGAAAAATTACTATAAATTGTGTACAATAATTTAGGTATTATTTTTACAGGGATATCGGGCATCTACAATCACAGAGACTTCAACAGAAACCATCACGAGTTTCCCCCATTTGACAACCGCTCCTTGAGAACCGCATACCACGTGCGTAGTCTGGAAGTGTACCGGTTTCTACAGTATGGGGGAAATGTCGATTTGTTTTTCAGCCATGACTGGCCGCTGGGAATCCATGACTTCGGAAACACCCAGGAACTTCTGAGGAAGAAAAGTTAGTTCCTAATTTCATTTCGCATCCTGTTGAAAAATTGTATCTCTCTTACTTGTTGAAGTAGTTTACCGAAGCTCTCGAAAATGATTTTTTTTCCGGTCTCCTTGAGTTAACTGACAATTTCTCATTTCTTCTTTGTCAACTATGCTCCTGTATGCTCCTGTTTGATATAAATCGGGTCTAATAAAAATTATTTTGTGATTCGGAGTCTAAAACTTTTATCCGTTGAGATAATCGAGTCTGAATCTTATAGTTTTAGGTGATTAATATATTGGATTGGCTTTCCATAATATGCGATTCACTGTCTCTTTGCAATGATAACTGGGTTTTCCTCTTCGGTAACTATGGCAATGATAACTATGGGTTTTTCTCTTTGCAATGATAACTGGTCGGAACATTTCGTACTAATTCTAGAGTGTGTTTAGGGTTTTTGTCGGATGATATCGCCAAGAACGAATTGGGGAGTGAGGCCAATCTGGCAATTCTGAGAGCGGTCAAACCGTCCTATTACTTTGCAGCACATTTACACGTCAAATTCGCTGCCATTTTTCCTCACGGCGACGAAGACCCGCAACAGAAAATACCAACTGTGAGAATCATCGGATTGTAATTTATTTTCTTGCATGTGATACGCAAGTGTTATAATTACTTTTGTGAGCGTTAGCGAGCGAAGTGAATTAGTAAAACTATTATTTTTTCCCAAACATAGTAGCAAATTTTGATGCCACTTTTTGTGGCACCTTTACGAATTGGTGATAGCATGTGCTTTGACATTCGTTTAGTAATAAGTTAACACAATTGATGCATTTTAAATTCGTCAAATGAACCGAAAAAAAAAATATTAGTTTCAAACAACAGTACAATAAAACCTCGGGTTCAGAAGTTTTCCAGTGTTAGTGAAGGGCCCGTGGAGCAGATGCGAGGACAGGGGACTCTAAATCTCCTGATCGTAGGATCGATTCGGCCACGGCAAAAGTTTTAATTTTCATGGATTTTATCTTGTTCCTCTTCTTATAGCTGTTTTTTTTTGTCGGTTTCTCGCTAGTGTTTGCGAAGCGCAGCTTGGCTTGTGTTATAATTTAATTTTTTGAAAAATTACGCGCAATTTTTTCAAAGTTTGACCATAAACTATTGGTAATTTTAAGTTAACTTAGATATTCTAAGTGATGTTGGATCTGATATTTCAACGATTTTTACATAATTGGGATGGTCTCATTTTTTAGTAAGAATTAAGATTGAGATTATTGTTTTGACTTGGGATGAAAAAAGCTGTATCTGGTTAAGTTAAAAAATGATTTTTAAGTGTAAAAGATTGAAATGATTTTCATTTATAAAGGTCTTGATCATTTTTTGTTATTTTTTTTTTAATTTGATTTTTCGCGGTTTGAGTTTTAATTTTCTAAGTTCATTTCATTTGTTAAACAGCTAAAGTGGAAAGGTCACTATAAACGTGAATGACTTCTAGTATCAAAAATGGACTTCTGAAGTTCCAGCAGATAAAAAATATGGAGACAGATTTATTTCTTCAATTGTACAAATATGAAAGGTATGCAATTCATATCAAAATTTTGCCAGACATAATTGTCAATTATATCTATCCAAAGGTATACGAATGAAGATGATAGACTAGAGATAAAAATTTTCAATCAGCGTTTTTTTGATTTCCTTGTTCTTTACCCTTGCGATACGCTAGGGTATTGCAATAGGGTACTAGACTTTTCCCCGTAGCAGGGCTCTTCTGCAATCATCTCTAGCGGCATCTTATTTTATAAATAATTCAAACTACTTAGCGTTCTCGGTCCACTTAGCCTGGAGGCAGCGAGTACGCCTTGGATGGCAAAGGTACTGGGTTCGAATCTGACCAGGACCTGTTTTTATTGATGGGAAATATTATTTTTCTACTCATCTTTTTTCGTCTTAGTTGTCACATATTGGAATCGTTTTCTTTCGCTGCTCGCAATTACTTAATCTTGCTTCTACTGTTTGATTTACTCCTGAAATTTGTAATTTTACTTGACTTCGTATTTTTTTTTGTTTTCTTCGAAATATGATTAGGCTTTTTTTGCCCAATTTTTATGGGCTCGGTGACCCAATTTTGGGTAGTTTCAAGGGAAACACGTTTCTTACGCTCCCTTTGCTTTTTTCAAGTTGGATGTATTTTTACCACTTGGTTTCTTGAACATTTTTTTCATTTTGCTTTTTTTCAGGCGTAGTAGGTTTCGGCTTGTTTTATGTCGGCTTAGTAGTCTCGTTTTTCGTCATTTGGTGCGCGAAAAAAGGGTTTGTGTGTTTTATGAGGGAAAGGGGGGGGGGCGTACAATTTTTTAGATTTATAGTCAGGCTGGAAGAGTTTCAGCTCAGGTATTTTCGGCTTGGTCACCGCTTGGTCAATTTTGTTCCGGTGCTGATTTTGCATCATATTGTTTGGGCATGTTTTTTTTTCACAATTTTCTTCATTCATTTCGATAGGTCTAGTTGTATCGCAAGTGGTGCGAAGCTCAGTTTCGCCCCTGTCTTACAATTTTCTTCCAACTATCTGCGGGCTCTGTTTAGATTGACAACACGATAAACGGTTGCAGGGTAACTCGATTCCTAGCTCTAGACAAAGTTCTACCTAACAGACCTTTCGTCCAATTGCTGACCTTACCGTCAAAGATTCCGAGGACTCCCGAAAACATATTACTGAGACACGACCCCGAGTGGCTGGCTATTCTGAAGGCCACCGATCCAGTTGTTTCTGTTTACCCGTCACAAGTGCAAATGCCGAAAGTGCCAGTTGAACAATCAGAAATGAAATCTTGTATAGATAGTGTACGAGAAGCGTTTCCGTCATCAGATGATTTAATTATAGCAGAAAACTCGTTCAAAATAGTAAGTTGCTTATTACATAAATAGTAATTTTAAATCATTTAAGCTTCACTCATTTAAGAAAGCGTTTGAATCTTGAAAAAATCATTGATAAAACCACTGAATGTGCGCGTGGAAGAAACACCTGTGTCCAAAAATTATCCAGCTGTAGGTACCAAAAGCAAATGTCAGATAGTCGAGTGATAGATATATTATGCTATAGCCTGCTCAGTTGTGATTCGCAAAGATGCTATGATGAACAATTCCAAAAAAAAAGTATTTTGGGTGCCGAGGAAGACGGTCTGAAAGTTTTGCTTTTCGGAAAATTGAAATAATTGTCTCCCTCTATCAACTAATCAACTCAACAACCTTAAGAGACAAAATATAAGATTCATTTACTGGCTATTTACTTTTTTAGTGATGAAGCTTTGGTTGGTCATGAAACACAAAAATAAAAATAAAAAAGAGTTTTTTTTTCATTTTTGGTTTCAATGTTTAATTTGATTGGAACACGCAAAACTTGCACATCAACCGATCAATCTTGTGTGGATATGGAAATAACGAAATGAACTGAGAAGAAAGGTAATTTTTGTCATTTAAGTGAAACCACATCAAGTTTCAACTAACTTAGACGGAATTTGTTTCGGTCGTCTTGTTTTTTGACGCATTTTTTCACATTTTAGGTTTTTGAGTCATTGAACATAATAGTGATGATTCTACTATAGCTCCTGGTGTTTTTTTCAGTTGTGTTTTTTTTAAAGAAAAAGTCATAAAATGTTCTAATAACAGATCTGCATTCATAAATTTTAATGCATTTATGAATGCTTCTAGGTATTTATCCAATTTGGGCAAAGGTAGTTAAGTTGGGCTCTTTACTTACGAAAAAAGTCTTGAAAATGCTACAGGTCACAAAAAACTTGGTCAACTTCTAGTTTCGAAATTGGAATTTATTTTTCTGATTTCCAGCGGAATTTATTTCTCTGATTTCCAGCGAATTACAACTTTTTTTATTGATCCAGTTTTCTCAAATTGAGTTAAGATATGTCAATCTTACATTTGTCTTGAAATTCAAAGAGCATTAAGGCGGTTTGTTTTTTGAAATTCGTAATTGAAGGTTTGTTTAAAAATAGGTCAGTTTTTTTTCTATTTCCCTGAGGGAAAATAATTTGCTAAAGGGACGGGAAATTTTGTTTTTCAGTAAGAAAGTGCAAATGGCGCAAAAATGTTGTCAAATTTTTCTAAACAAAAAGAAATGAAGTGATTTTCGCTTATATACTGAGTGACATTGAAAACGCATTAGCAAATTTTTGATTGGTCAGAAATCTTCCGAGTCCGTAGAGTTTTTTTTTGAGAAATTGCAAAGTCCATTTGCTTACTCTGTTTGATTGCTACAGAAGTTGATAAATTGTCTAAAAAGGAAGTTTAAAAAATGTTTGTTTTTTTCAGCAAAAGACGTCAAAATTAACCTATGTTTTGTCTGATTAATTTGAAAAAAAAAACATAAGTAGCTTGTTTCAGTCACAGTTTTGAAAAATCTTGCGCGCTTAAGGTCAAAACCTAAATAAAATTTAATGATAAGTCATAAACATACCTTTTTCTCCGGATTAAAACTGCGTTTTTCTGGTTAATTTCAGGCATATTTTTCTCTCAAGCTTACAAGAAAATTCATACTTAGAAATGAATCATATGTAAATCAGTGACTGAAATGTGATCAAACTTGCTTAAAAAGCATTAGATTGTATGATTTCAGTTTCGCCAACCGTTTTCAATTCAAAGAAAGATAAAGCGAAATCTTGTTGATACATATCAAGTTCATTTGCTAAAAAGTAGGCAATTTGCGCTCTTCATTTACGAAAAGGAAGCCGCTAAAATGCGATGAATTTCAAAAAATAAAATTTACCCATTGATACAATTTTCACAAATTGGGTTAATTTCAAGCAAAAAGTGAGAATCATGAAATATTTTTAAAATGCAAAGAACTTATCTAATATATATGCTATTTTTTCAGAACTTGAAAATTGAAAAATATCCGTATCCGATTCCAATTGGGAAAAATTAATTAGTCGGACTCTATTTTGTCCGATTTTTTGTCGGCGTAGTAGCCACGCCACAATCTTTTTTGTACTTTAACCATTTTTCATTGCTGTCTCAAGTGCCATTGATTAATTTCTGTAGTTATTCAAAATTACTACTTTCCTGGTAATAGTCCGTTTTTTTGTTTTTTTTTCGCTTAGAATATTTATTCGGACTAAATGATTTTGGCTCTTGTTTTGCCGGTTTAATGATCCTTTTTGAAATCGGTTTAATGGTAAAAAAAAGACTATTCTTGTTTTTAATAATTTTCTAACCTTTTATTCGCTCAAAATTTTTTTGACAACAATTTCCTTGGTCATTTTTTGTTTTCGAACTAAATGGCGTCTAACCTCGTGTTGTCGGCTAAGTGGACGTTTGGAAAATACTAAAAGCTTGCTTAATGCTAGTGCTTTTGTTTCTCGTCTGTTTTTTTTCAGAGATAGAATTTTCGCTTTTTTTAGATAGAAAATTTATGTTTCCTTTGCCATTTTTGGTTTGAGATTAATTGATGCCTGACCACTTGTTGTGGGGTTAGTGAACGTTCGGGAAATACTAAAAGCTTATTTAAGGCTAGTGTTTGCATTTCTCGTCTGTTTTTCTGATCTTGAATGTTTCGTATTTCCAAAAAACGTTGATTTTTCAACTTTGTTATTTCCATCTCACCGATTTTTTTAAATAGTTTGCAATGCTACGCTTTCTTTGTATCGCCAGGGATGCGGAGCTCCTCGCCCGTTTGCGATTAAAAAGTGTTGTCAGATCGGAGATAGACTTTTTCCGATTTAAGCAACTTTTCCGACAAATTCACTGAATCATTTTTCTCAAATTTGTGTTTTCGTCAACTAACAGACATATTTTGAATTTTTATGCTTTTGAAATAACCCTTTTGTTTGAAGTTTTTTCATTATGACTAAATTCACCAATTGAGATCTGGTATCATTAAGTTTCAATTAACAGGGTTGTATGCAAAGACACTTATACAGGTCGTGCTGTTTTCTTGCGCTATTTTCAGGAAGAAGTGGCAAAATGAATACAAATTACGCTCTTCAATTAGACAATACAAATTTAGCGACAATAAAGGGATTGATTTTAAATTTCAAAATAGGATTTTTCCAGCGGAATAAAATAATTATCTATTGGTTCAGTTTTCTCAAGTTTTGCTAATTTTATCAAAAAGATGTCAATCCTACAAGATGTGGAAATTCAAAGAAGAGTTTAAGGTGTGTTTTTTTAATATTCTTCAAAAAAAAAACGAAATATATTTTTTTGGTCAATCAAAGATGTGAGTTCAGTGACAGTTTTGAGTTCAAATTACCTGTTGGCTATGTTTTTTGTTTCGATATTTGCATTCGGGTGTTTTGCCATGCTTTGTTGTGTGGCATTGAAAGCGGATCGGAGCGAGGCTTCGCTACTGAATGAAAATCGTATCCACGGAGTGATGTGAAAATTATTTGTTCCTAGTCTGTGAACTGTTTACGATATTGAAATTTTATCTCGGCAACTTTCTTTCTAGAACTTAGATTTGTTGAAAACAATAACTTTCTAGTTTTTCGGTAAGTTGAACTCAACCAAAATTTGTTGAGTTGTTTGCGCGAAGAATTTATGCTAAGAGTCATTCTTGCACCTAGATAAGACTAGCACCAAAAAATGGCTGAGTTGAAAATGACAAAAACAATTTGTATGTTTTTTAGACTGTACCGGCTTACGACCCACGCAAAAATCCTCACATTCGATTAAATGTTCCTCAACCACCTGCAGCTAACAACGAATACACGCAACAGCTGTGCGATAAACTGAAAATCAAAAACCCAATTGTTGAGTATTTCAAACTTGTCGAGCAAGGCTTAGTTAGAGTAAATTATCAAACTAACAATGGAGAAGACTTCGAAAGTTCAGACATGAGTTTTGTTTCGTCATCATTTAATTCAACGCCCAGTTTTAGAAAAGGTCAAAGGTCATTTATTGGGTCAGAAAACAATTCTGTTGTTGATACTTCTAATGACCCCAACGAACTTGAAATTGAACAGTCTTCTGATGAAAGTGTAGGAGATCCAAAGGGAGACGAGGAGTTTTTCATGGAGAGTTTCTCGAAATCGTCAATTATTCCTCAAGCCGATGAAAGTCAAATATTGCAGTTGTTAAACTCGACCCTAGAACAGTCAAGGTCAGATCCTTCGGCAATCGATTTAAGTGCTATAACAGAAGAGCCGAAGGAAAAAGTAGCTAAAGGAGATGTTTCAGCGACTTGTGAAAGTGAAATTACTATGCATTCCACTCCCTTGGCTGTGAAAACTTTCAAGAGAAGAAATACTTTGCCCAGAAGTTAAACGAAAGGATGAATGAGCAGTAATAAACTATGAATCTATGAGTGATTTCCTTGAAACTTGATTCGTTGTTTACAGTTTTCCGAAAGTTTTATTTGATGAATTTACTTTTTCTCATTCGAAAAGTTTTCTTCTGTGATATTTATTAGCAATAGAAATGAATAAGTTCGGAGATTTGCATATTTTTTAGACAATCGTTTTTGCAAAATTTCAATATTTCCATTTTGGCAAGGAAATTAATCTCGTATCTGAAGAGATTTATTGAAAGTTGAAAAATTATATTCATTTACACTTGCGATCAGCGTAGTGTATTATTACGAAACTACTTTTTTTTCTAACCTTACTTACAAATAAAACTGTTCATCAAAAGTGTTCACTTATTTGGAAATTTCACTCCAGCATTGGGAATTGCATACCATTTGTTCTGCTTTATTTGTGTCTAGTTTGTCATGAATTAAGCGTCCATGGCTGAGAGGTTAATGTGTGAGACTCTTAACCTCTAGGTCGCAGGTTCGAATCTCAGAGGTAGCCGTACTTTTACTAATTCAAGGCTTATTTCTAACTATTATTATTGCTTTTTATAGAGTTGCTTTGTTTTCGTGTTCTCGCAAGTGTTTGCGAAGCGAAGTTTCGCCGCTGTGTTTAAAATTATGCCAATAGTTACTGTGTTTGTTGTATTACCAGCTATTTGAAATTATTATGTTTCTTCACATTTTCAGATTTATGATTTATTTTTAACCATGCAAACTACTGGACCTATTTGTCGCGACTACTTGCGCAACGTATGTCCAAGAAGCAGCAGCGAATGCCGATTCGATCACCCTCAGCGAGTCGTAAGCAACGCCGCAAACTCCCAAAGCTCTCAGAATTCAAGAGAATCCTCCCAGACTCGAACCCAGGAAGATAAAGTCTCGGTATGTCGAGATTTCGCCCGTGGTTCATGTCCTAGAACTCATTGTAGGTTTTTACATTTAACCCCAACTGAAGTTCGAGACTACGCTACTAATGGAAATTTACCGGAGAGAATCCTAGTTGCGAGAGCAAATGGTATGAAGCTACAGTCCGCGGATGTTGAAGCGTTAAATGGAGCCATCCCTCTTTGTCGAGACTACCTAAAGGGTATTTGCACGCGGCGTGATACTTGCAGGTATTTGCATCTGAACAACATCTCAGAACCACTTTCGCCAAACAATCGTTCAAACTCTAACAATTCACTTCATTCGTCAGTAAATGCGAGATTCGAACAAGATTTGGACGAGTCTCCGCCGCAGATAAAACGTATGAAAGCAACATCCAGTGGAATCTTCGAAATTCAATCACCAGATGAACATTTGCAGCCGCAACACACCCAGAATGAAACGTGTCACAGACGCGGCGGGGGAAGAGGTTCGTCGAAACGGCACCAACCTGATGTTGTGTATGCAAATGGAGCTATGGCTTCAGGACGCCGAAGGTCCTCGGTTTCGGGACTCTCGCCTGCCGGAGACCATTACGACCCCTTCTCAAATTCGCCCCCTTTTCCATCGCCTAGTGGAAGCACGACAAGTGGGGGCAGTTCAATCGGCGGTCACAACCGGTCACTGAGCAATCGAAGAAGGATAGCGAATAATAATAAGAGCAGTAGACCTTGCAGCGCATGCCTTGGATGTAATAATTTACAAGAGGAAAACAGGTCGCTGAGGTAATATATTTTTTTGAAACTTGAGAAACCAGTGTTCATGTCAATGATTGCTACCGTCTGCAAGAAAATGACTTTTTGATCCAGTTTTTTCTACTTGTATAAGTTTACTGAAAAAAGTGAAAATCAAAAAAGATTCGAATTGCAAAAAGCTTTAAAGTGATTATTTTTCTCCAAAATTCGAAAGTTGAATTTTGTTGAAAATAAAAGTCAGTCGTTTTTGTTTCGGGTTCTTTGAGTCATTGAAACTTTTCGTATAGTCAGTTAGCTATGTTAAATGTCATTTAGATTGAAAGTGATTGAACTTGAGAAGCAAGTGAGCAACCTCTCAACCACAAATGATGTCCTCCTTACACAAAATGCGAAATTGCGAACCAACAAAGCAGCACCCTACCAACACCAGCAGTCGAATCAAACCCAGAAGCAGTCTCATAACCCTCCTGCGCCCATCCAACAACCCACTCCTGTGTCTGTACACCAGCAAGGCTTCTCGGTAGTATCAGGTGCAACTAACAATCAAGGTGAAAATCTAACTTTGGTTTGGATTGATTATTTTGCCAAAGTCACGAGTTGTAGATCCTTTTTTCGAGATGGCTAAGCAATAGTCGTGAGGAAAATGCATTTCATGTTCGTCATCGGCCCTCAATAATCTGGAGAAAATGGGCAATAATCCGCAGATTGCGCTTCGACTAGAAAATTGTCTTCCCAAAGTTAACAACAATCATCATTTGACGAATTGCTTGTTTTACCCGGTGCTTGTTTTAGCCGGCCACTCAAGTATGGTTAATTATGGACCGCAACAAGTCATGGAGGCACCCCCGCCTCCTCCACCGGTCATAATGCAGAACACGTTGCAGAGTGGATTTAACAATGTGGAGCAAGGTTCGTTTGTGCAGACGCAGCAGCACAATCAGCAGCCGAATATTTTGCAACAGCAACATCTGCAAACGGCTATTCAGGTGCCAACAGGTCAGTCGAATCAAAACTATTTATGCAGTTATTTTTTAACCAATGATTGTGAAAGGAAGTTTTTTCCTGAAGTTACTAAAATTCATGATTTACTTTGCGAAGATGTAAAGAATCACCGTTTGTGGTTGTAAAAACGGTTTAAGAAGGAATCAAAACAATTTATTTTTCTAATCAAGTTTGGTGAAAAAATTGGGTAAATTTCAATTGTGTCACATTTCCAGGCGCTACAGTTGGCGCTGTTCATCTCACAGCTCACCCTCGCAACCCGATCAATGCGACAACAGTAGCCAATGTGAATGCAACAGCTCTGCCATATTTCATCACACAGCTCACTCCCAATTTCACCCCCATCAACGCAGTCACGGCCCAAACTGGCACACTGAATGCAAGTGTGGTTCAGTCGCCAGGAACAGCAGTAGCAGCAGCTGCTCCCAACGGCAGTATAAGGGCAGCTATTCTGCCTCATCCCGCTAATCAGGTACAGTCAGCTTTAGCATTGAACCGTTTAACTACCCCCTACCCCCATGGTACCTAAAAAGATTATTCACGCCTCCTAAACCACTTATTTGTCAGCTAAGCACTTGCGATTTTTGCTCCTAGTAAAGAATAAGAATTACTTTCCTTCCCCATTTTGCAATGGGGAAAGGCAATGGTGTGGTGAATAGTTTTAGCCATGCTACGTTTTGTGATTGATTGTTTTTTTTTGTTGTTTTCATTTTTGTTGCGATGTTCTAAAAGTAAAGAAGTTGATGTACTCTTGAAGATTTGTAACATCAATGGTTTTTTCACACTGAAAAAGATATTCACGGATAATAATTATTTACTTTATAAGTAATCAATGGGTGGGGCATGTGAACGAGCAATAATATTAGAAGGCGAAGCTTATGTAGTTGGACGTTTTTTGTTTCCTCAGGTCGTGGCTGCAGGCCAGCCAGTAGCGATTGCGGGATCAGGTCAATACACCCCCACATTCCTCCTTCCCCACGTTCCGACAACCACAATCAACGCGGCATCGGCTAACAACCCACAGCAACTCACGGTAACAACCTTGTCCCTGACACCTTTCGCTGCCGCCGCGGGATACACAGGACAGATTTATAACATAAGACCGGCGTCTGCAACTACTTACCATTTGACACCTGCGTCTGCGCAGACAGTGTGTATTAATGCGTTGCAAGCGGCACCCAATATGTCGCCAGTAGTTGTGGCACATACACCGTCGACTCTAGCAGCGGCGGCTGCTGCAGGACAGTCAATGGGATCCGCCGGAACTGCAGTGTTTCAAACAGTCCAGGCAGTGCAGCAAATGTCAAGAATGTCTTCACCCCACAATTCATAAACTAATTATTTGTTACAATGCCATTCTTATTTTTAAATTTATTGCTAGTATTAAAGAGTGCTTTTAGGAGTAATGAACGTAGTGAAAACTCTTATATAGGTCTTGCTGATTTTTTGTTTTTTTTTTTCAGGAAAAAATCTTACAATTTGTTCACGCTCAATTTTGATTTTTCGCGATTTGACTTGTGATTTCTTTTGAAGTTCAGTGCATTTCCAACGTTAAAAGGAGGGCAAACTCCATTATCGAATATCAAACGTGTAAAGGTCACGAAAAACGGTGATCGACTTCTAATTTCGAAAATGGAAATTAATTATCAGATTTCCCAGCTAAATAAAAGTTTCACCTATTTATCCAGTTTTCTCAAATTGGGTTAAATTTAACAAAAAAGTATTCATCATAATTTGTTCTACAAATTCGAGCTTTCAAGCAATCTATTTTTTTTCTTCGAAATTCAAAAGTTAGAGATTTTTGAAAAACCAGTTGTTTTTTTTTCAGTTTCCTTGCGTTCATCACTCTTTTTCAACTCTCATTTGGCTATGTTTAATGATACGGCTGGTAATTAATTTTAAGAGTAATGAACTAAGTGATTTCTTTAATATGGGTCTTAGTGAATTTTTGTTTTTTTTTAGGAAAAATTTGTTCAAGCTAAGCTATGATTTTTCGCGATTTGATTTTTGAGGTCACTTCATTTTGTTTTGTTAGAAGGAAGGCAAACTTTATTATCGAACAGAGAAAGTCTAAAAGTCACGTGAAGTGATCAACTTCTAGTTTCGAAAACGGATTTTTTTTTTTCAGATTTCCCAGCGAAATAAAACGGTTATCGATCCACTTCTCCCAATTTGGGTTGATTTTATCATTATTGTTTACTAAAAGAAACGGCTGGGTCGTTGAAAGATGCTTTTGTTAAGAGTAATGAACGAAGTGACGACTCTTATATAGGTCTTGCTGATTTTTTCAGGAAAAAGTCCTAAAACGCTCTAATGTTTTTTTCCATGGCTACATTGATTAGCATTCTCTTAGAATTCCTATTATTTCTCTGCCACCTCTTATTGTTTCTGCTTCAAAGGTCTCGTGAAGCTTCCAATTGTTGAATTCCGGCTTCAAGGAATACTTCATGGGCTTAACAAAATGAAGATTATCGTGAGATAGGTTCATCTCACGATCTTTCTGTACACGTAACTGTTCGGCTACTGCGGGAAAATTCCCTGCTCCCTTTGGCAGACCAGGTTCAAAAGAAGAGAGGTTGGGTTTTTTGTGCCCCTTTCTGATTTGCTTTTTGTCTAAAGGCCTGGATCTTTTTACCTGTTCTGATGCCGAATCTGCGTTGAGGCAATTCCAGCTTGATACGGGGTCGTACTCCATTTCTGAATATATTAAATTGTTTTTATTTTGTTTTACACCTTAATTGTAACCTAAATTGTTTAAAAAAATGGAAATTTGGGCATTATCTAACCCCTAAACTTCGTTATGTCGACCTGGGTTCATCGACAGGCTTACTATGGGGTCCTTTTTTATAGGTAAAGGGACTAAAAAAAACTGGGGGTAAATATACCTTTTCCAACCTTTTTTTTGATAATATTTTATAGCAAATTAAGTGGTATTGTTTGTTTTACAGTCCCACCACGGTGAAAAAGAATAGAAGGTCTGTGGGTTTAAAGTGCTTGGTTCGCCGTATCTCACAGAGTTTTCTTCTGTGGGTTGTTGCATTATTTCTTCTTGGAAGAGGAATAGGAATCCAAAGTAAAAAAGCAGTATCAGTTTGTTTTAAATTGCGTTAAGCATTTGCTGCAATTTTTTTGTGAAACGGATGATTATCCGTCAAGTGCCGATAACTTTTTATATAAGTAGTTCGGGAATCACCTTGACTTTTTTCGCTATTTCGTAGTACACATCGCAGGTTGAGTAAAGGAAAAAGGACATAGTGTATACTGGTGTACGGCAAATGAGGTAGAGAGTTTTTCCGTGTTGGGCGAAAGTTTCGTTTACTACTTCGTCGCAGTCTGTACAAACAAGATGGGGAGGTTGGTGTGTTAAGTTTTTATTTTGTTTCTTGAAAGCCGTTTTGTGTTCATAATATATTGGACATGTATGTTGAGAGGTTGAGTTACTAGGTTTTAGAAACACCTTGCAAACTGCTTGATGTAAGTGTTAAATTGGAAAGCATACCGTTTTGACGAATTCGAGGAAGGAGGATGTCATTTAAAAAAAAAGGTTACAGTGGGATCCTTTGATCAGATGTTGGCCTAAAGAGAAGACTTGAGCTTCGAATGGCAAGTTTTGTTTTAAATTATTGCATTGCACTGATGTCAATATAGTTTTCGTGGAATTCCAAATGTGAATGTAAATTTCTCCAATGTTTTGGTAGTTTCGGTTGCGGTTGTTATATGCTTGTAGAAATTGTGAAACGGATTCTACGATTACTACGCGATTTTTCTTCCCATTTGATTTGATATTGGTTGAATCGGTACTCTCTGGTCAATGTGAACTGTGTCGAAAGAGAAAGGTAATGTATTATCTCTGTTCTTTTTTCCAATAGTGCTTCTTTATGATCATGTCATTTTTTTACCAAGTCATCCTCTGCTGAAAGATCTGGTATCCATTTATACATTTCTGGCCGAAAAAAAAATCGTTTAACGTTTGTTTAAGTTTTATCTTTACCTACATGTCCTGAGAGTTGATCTTTAGTGCAAGTTCAAATCTTTTTTTTTAAAGTGACATTGTGGAACACATCTTTATTTCTCTTATTATTTCCGAGCTATCAAATGCTTGTTCAATGCCTGAAAAATTTCCTCGTAATAACGATTTTTCGAAAGTGTTCATGTATGACGACAAGACTTTAGAATGTCTCTGATGAATGCTTTTGGTATCTTTGTTTTCTTTGAATAAATGTTGCATTATTTTAAAAACTGGATCGTTTTTTGTTTTTTTGAATTATTTCTGTGTTTAGATCTGTTGCTTTTCCTTCATACAGTTTCTTTAACATTTGAGATGGTTAAAGTTTATACAAAATTGTTCATCTCTTAACTTTTACCAAGTAGATAGGAGTTCTGTTTTATTAGTTTCATACTTTTCTCTCTTACAATATTTTGCTGGGAGTAAGTGGAGAGATGTAAGGATTTTAGTGTTCCACTGCTCGTCTAGAAACGGGCACGGTGTCCGTTGTCAGTTGAAGATGTGTGTACGACTCAAAGGTGGTTGTTTCGGTGTTCGTTTGAATAAATTTTTTTAACTCGAGGAATTACTTGAGTTAAAGTTTTTAGCATTGAGTGACTATAAAAGAAAATAACGATACGAAAGGAGTTTTTTAAGAGAGAGAAAGAATAAACTAAAATTTATCGAAGTTTTTAACCGTCTGTCTGGTCGAGTCACTTGAAAATGCAGGCCGGCTCATACAAAACAATTCTAATTTTTCCCTGCATCTGCTCTTTTACTTCAGTCCTTTAATCTCTGATCCTCCCTTTGACCAGGAGACAGACATTTGCAGTTTTTTTATTGTTTATATTAATTGGGAGAATTTCTTCACCCGCCTTAGTTACTTCAGTTTTCAGAGCGGTGTGGGATTCATCTGTTTTCAAAGCCAAAACAATGGGCAAACTCTGCCTGACTGGCGCCGTGGTTAAATTTTAACTTACTTCTATCATCATTTAAGCTTAATTAAAATTCGTTGCCTTTTTCCAAGGTTAATAAAACTGAAAGAAAAAAATAGTTTGAAGCGTTAGATATTTGGATCTGACTATTAAAGTTTCGAGTTAAGTTGCTCAGTTGAAATCTGAATCGAAGTTAAAAAGGAGTTTTAATCTGAAGGTGTGAACGAATTTAGAAATGAAAAGAGTCCACTCGAATCTTATGTTAACAATAAAAACAATAGCCTTTTTTTTAATGAAGCAATTCCATTACTACAATTTATCCATTTTTGTCAAATTGGGTTAAGTTAAACAAAAAAGCATAGAAAAAAATAAGAGTGTTAAGCCATATATTTTTTCTTTGAATTTCGAAAGATGAAGCTTTCTCAAAAAACAAGTCAATTTTTTTTCTTTTGCTTTGCGTTCATGACTCTTTTCTATACTTCACTCTGAAATCGTCCTTCCTAGTAGTTGTTAACCTTGTCGAAGTGTGTGAAATAAATTATGATCTTTTAGTATTTATTTTTTAGCAAGTTCAAGCAAACCCAAATTTTGGATTCCTAAATTGTAAATTGGTTCTTGTTTGGATATTTTGTCGAAACCCACGTATCGCTATTAAACTTGGAAAGTGACTTCTAGATTGACATTAAAATTGTTTCAAGTTAAATTTATTTTGTTAAATTGAATAGTTGTAAGTATTCACATTCATGAAGTTATGGCACGCAATGGACTAAAGTTTAGTGAGGAATACTGAGGACCTCTTCATTAGAAGCTTCAAAGAAAATACCAAGTAACGATTCTCTTCACGCATGATCTGCGAGTCTTAGCACTCATCAATCACCTAACTTTTGATAGTTTTGAAGCTTGGTTAATGTGTTACAGCTCTCGAATTTCAAAATAAGAGACGATAAATTTATATATTTTTTTTAGATAGTTTTGAATGTCGCTGACTACTAAAATCCTGCTCGTGGGTCCCCAAAATGCGGGAAAAACAGTCCTAGCCAAGTACATTTTCAGTAGAGATGCTGATGACCTGGGTTTCCTAGAGAACAACATGGAAGAAAAGGAGTTCGAGGCCTTTAAGATGGATCTAGGGTCTGAAGGAGACGTTTCCACTTACCCTCTAAGGATTCATGAGAGGAATATTGAAGATTTCCAGGTTTGCGAGTTCTTTGTTAAACGCGAGTTTTTATGGTTATAACTAGATGCCCATAGAATCAAAAAGATGTCTCTTTTATACTGTTGATATTCTATGCTTATGTTGACATGCTTCATCTGAAAAATAATAGGTTTCTCTAAATTTGCGATAAAAATAAAATGAGGAATCAGTTTCAAGTTATCAGTTCACGAATTCTTATCCACTAAGTATTAGATTTACTTTCCACTTAGTTTACATTTAGGACTACAAGATATTACAAAGTTAGAAAGGACAGACAAAAAGACACAAAAAGAGGTAATATAGAAACGATAGAAGAAAAAGAGTGTTTTTTTTCCAGCTCTCCTCGGGTGCAGTTGTGAGTGTGAATGTGCAAATATGGGATGTGAGTGGAGACCTGGAGAGGATGAGGGACAAGTTGGAGGTGGTCTGTGGCAACGCACTTGGGGCTGTGTTCGTCTACAATCCAGGCAGACAGGGACACGGAGAACTACTGGATCAGGTATGTCGGAGAAAGACTTACTAATTTATTCAACGAAATCATTGAAGAATGGTTTCTCCTTTTTTGAGAGGGTACGATAAAAGGTGTTCTTAAGAGTCGATGGACGTAGTTCAGACTCTTCAAGGTCTTTTTTTGATTTTTTATGATTTTTTATTTTTTTTTGTTTTTCATGAAAAGTCTTCAGGCTCAAATTTACTTTTTCGCGTATTGACTTTTGATTTCTTTTTAAGGTCAGTTCATTTCCTTTATTAAAACAAAAGCAAACTCAACAATCGAGCAGCAAAAGTGTTAAGGTCACGAAAAACGAGATTGACTTCCAGTTTGGAAAAGGGAATTTATTTTCCAGATTTCACAGCGAAATAATCTTTTTTAATGATTGATTCAGTTTTCTCAAATTACGTTAATTTTATCAAAAAGATGCCAATCATAAATTGTTCAAGAAACTCAAAAAGCTTTAAAAGCGCCTATTTTTTTCTTTGAAGTTCGAAAGTACTTTTTCAAACAAGTTAGTATTTTTTCTGTTTTCTAGCATTCATTGACTCTTTTCCAACTGTCTGTTCGTTATGTTTAATGGGCCATATAATGTTCAGGCTAAAACTGCCAGGATAAAATCCTACCAGGTATAATCGCCCGGGACTAAACCCTCCTAGGTCGAAGTCTCCTATATTTGTAACATAACCACATTATTATTTGACAGAAAGCATCTCGCTTAGTCGAATGAAACGTTGAGAGCTCATTGAAATTGGAAACCATAAATAGAACTAAGTTTGAAGTAAAATTATACATTTAACTTGGCCATAAATCGAACTAAGGTCTTCGAAATGGTATGGCACCGCAGGCTTCTCAGGCTCCTCCACGGCTCCAGCGTACCCAGGGGAATATTCAGATGGCATTGTCGAACTACTTTATTGGGCGCCATGACTCTTTTTTAGAAACCCTTTGTCAACAACTAGGCTTTTCTGAACAGGGGTTCTGGAAGGTTCTTTATCTCCTACACTTTTAAACTTTTACAAGCATGTTTTTTTTCTTCAAAATCATCCATACGAAACCGTAACTAATGCAATCCAAGATGGTCTTCCCTCTAAAGTTCTGCCATTGTGCTCTCCTGATATTTCCTCGACCGAGGAACTACTACCCGATCAACAAAGAGCACATTAGCACGGCCAAGATCTGGTTACAGAGTTTTTTTTTCATACCGCAATAGAATTGCACCCAATGTCCCCCGAATTGTCTTTTAACGTTTTTTCGTATATCAGTTATGTGTTTTTCAGTCTTACAGGCCATGACGTTGTTTTTAAGCAATTTTACAGCCATTGACCAATAAAAAACGCGCATAACAAATACAATTATTTCGTTTAGTTTGTCGTATAACGTGTACGGTATACAGTGCTTATTAAGATTATCCGTCAAAATGAACTAAACTTGAAAATTAAAATACGTTTTTCTCAAATTGGGTTGGATTTAGGTGAAAAGTAATGAAGACAAAGAATTTTAGCAGAAGACAATGAAGACTGCCTTAGAATTTTAGCAGAATTATGCGGTGCAATTAGATTTTCGAAATTCGGTTCTCAAATTCCCTAAAAAGGATCATTTTTAGATTTTTTTGTCAATCAAAAATTACGCCAAAACTACCGAATCAATTACTGACACAGTTATATCAAATTGAGCCTCTTGCGTACCCAACAAAGTTTAAGAAGGGTAAACTCTCGATAAATTTGCTCAAATTGTTCAGCAGTTGTTTTTTTTAAAGATTGGTGTTTTATATTGTGAAAACGATTTTTTGTCTATCAATTAATCTTAAAATATTTTTTAACAATATTTTGGATGTTAAACGTTTCTTTTCGGAAGAGACTCTTTTTGATATAATTGTGTCAAAAATTAACCGGTAGTTTTGGTTTAATTTTGCTAGACCACAAAATCCAAAAATGATCCTTTTCAGGTAAATTTTTGGGCGCGATTTTGGCGAAACCGATTATACCATATTTTATGGCTTAAATTCTTAGCAAATTTTGTGGGGCATAGGAAATTAGACGACAAGCAAATAAAACGACCGTAAAAACGGATTTTAGACGATAATTTTTTCGCGAATTAAGACGACAAGAACTGGGCCAACAAAACTTTTTGTTAAGAATGAAGTTACACAGAGACAAAAAGATATTCTTATCACAGAATGGACAGAATTCTTACTGTAAATTAATTATAAAACGTTAAGGCGAAAAACTTTATACATTTTTCAAATGCCTAAATTATAGAACTGTGACATTAATAACCTGATTTGTGGTTGGATATCCTGTGTTACTCAAGGAAAGTTAATTTAAGTCTGTAAACAATATTCACGCAATTTGCACGAAACGTATCGTCTAAATTTCGTTATTTTTTGGTCGTCTAATTTGCTTGTCGTCTAATTTCTTAAGCCCCAAATTTTGTCTCTTGAAGTCAACCCAATTTGAGATAAACGTATTTTGAATTTCAAGTTATTGCGTTTCGTCCGGATAATTTGAATCAGCCCTGTACTGGTCCGGATCGGATGCAAACGTTTGATTGCTAATTAGGGTATCATGTTCAAACAAAGCTAACTGATATTCCTCGACATCGGTATTGTATTTTTGCAGTGGTTCCGCGAATTAGAGAACCTGCTTCCCTCCTCGGCCGAGAAGATCCTCTACCCGTACAAGATGCCAGACCAGAAACAGAATAGCAGGGCAGTGCATCCCAAACTGACGAGTAGAGTGAGGACAGTCGAGGACTGCAATGCGTACGAGAGGGATTCGATTAGAAGAATGCACACGGAGTTCAACCAGATGTTACGCAAGGTAAGAAACTGCGAAATTACCAGAACGCTACGAATGACTTTCAGCCAATTAAACATAATTATTTCTGTTAAAATTCCAAGCAAGTTTTTCATAATTTTTTCCTCTGAAGCCACCCCAATTTGAGAAAAACCCGTTTTAAATTTCAAGTTTATTGATTTTTGTCCAGATAATTTAAATCAGCGCTGTTCTGGTCCTTTCAGTCAAGACTGGCTGCAGATAAATTTATTGAAATTTATTGTTTAATGCAAAAATATCATGTAAAAGTCGTGGGTATATCGAAGTTTGGTTTGGTGGTCGTTCCAAAATGCCCTATTTCTATATTTTCGAGTCCTTCAAGAAATTTTCATTGTGTGTTTATTTCGTGAATATTGAGGCCAAGATACGTATCAGTGGCTTCGTTTGAAGAGCTGAACAGCTCGTATGCGGTTCCTCTGTGAGTTAGTTCGGGATGAATGGTCTTAATGTAGATATGAATGTCTAGGTGGTGGACAGACAATACACGAGAAGAGAGAAACAGGAGAGATCTCTCATGAACACGAACAACTACTGAATAGTCAAGTTTAACCGAAGGATTCAGTCTGTGCAATTGTCAAATAGACCAAAAAAGAAGTTAGAAAGCGGATTGTATAAAGCTGATTACTTGTAAATAGTGTAGTTTTTTGTATCAATTACGATGTAAATGACGTAAAATGTAATTTAAAACTGATTCGATGTTGTTTTCAGAAAAATAATTATAGGAGCTGGATTTTTTTGTTCGAATAGTTCACTAACCTTGTCAAAATATATTTTGAGTGTTGAAAAAATAACAATTTTTTGTCTAATCGCTCTTAAAACTAAATCAAATAGCTTATTTGAAAAGCTCTAATAGTTCGGCGCTGAAAACTATGGTCCCGCTCGATTTTAATATCAAAAACAGTAAAGCGGTAATTTCGGTGAAGTATGATTGATGGCTGAAGATTTTTCAAAAAACAACTCTAGTTAATTTTTCAGAATAGTATAAAATGGCTCTGCAGGCAATCAGAAGGGCGAATGTGCGCTTGCCTCCAGAGGTGAACCGTATCTTGTATGTGAGGAATCTGCCTTACAAGATCAGTAGTGAAGAGATGTACGATATATTCGGGAAGTATGGACCCATCAGACAGATCAGAGTGGGGGACAAGGCAGACACAAAGGTCAGCTGATGTTATAGTTCTTTTTCATATTTCCCCCCTCAAATGACGTCCACCCCGTGAAATACACCCCTCGCCCTAAACCCGCTACTGGTTGTTATCAACTTGATTAAACTATTTTGAAAAGATTATCAGCCCACTAAATTTGTAATTAAAAAGAAATTTAAAATGAAGTTTGTTTGGTTTCAGGGCACCGCCTACGTAGTTTACGAAGACATCTTTGATGCCAAGAATGCATGTGATCACTTGTCCGGATTCAACGTCTGTGGCAGATACCTCATAGTGCTTTACTACCAACCGCACAAGATGCACAAGAAGATAGACCAGGAGAAGAAGTCCCAGGAGATCGCAGACTTGAAAGCCAAGTATGGAGTCCAGGACACGCCGAAACACTGAACCAGAAGAGTTGCAATTTTGGTCTGGTTGTAACGAGATAATTGATGGTCTGCAAGTCAAAGTCTGCAAAAAGGAAGAGATTTGGTCCTGATCTGGAAGTGCAAATAGAAACTTGATGATTTATTGTCGCTGTATAAATTATATTCTTATTTTTTTTTTGCTTAGTAGTTCATTTTGTTCTGTCCTTTTTAGCATTATTATTTAACAGAAAACTGAGTTAGAAAAAATAAAAGCGAATCAGGAATCTTAGATTGGTATCTGTATGTTTCAGCGGAATTAGTTGAGCTGTTCTTTTCTGTGTTACTAGAACTTGATCTTAGTTATATCTGTTTTTTTTCTGTCTTGTTGCTGCAAACACTCATGAAATGAGTGAAAAGGAGCATTGGATTTATGACTCGGTGTTTTATGGCACTTTTTCGATAGTTGCAAGAAAAACGCCATCAAGTAGAGTGCGCTCCCATATTAAAGTCTTTCCAGCTGCGGTTTGGACCGAAACATTTTTTGACAAACATCATGTACCACTCAAATGCTCCCTTTTATTAAGTGTAAAAGAAGGAAGTCATTTTCACTTATTACCGTTGCGATGAGCAAGGACATTGCAAGCGAGTACTAGACTTTTTTTCCGTTAACAACTTTTACACTTAAGTAGTAATTAGTTCGTAGTCCGATTCTTAAGCCCTTTTGAGGTTGTAATTATCTTTTCAAAAAAAACTCAATTTTTTTCGGGTTCGGGATTTTTGTTCTAGTTTTTGTCGGCTCATTTCCCGATTTTTTCAAACGCCATTTTTTTTATCTGGCCTAGTTTTTATTTTTTTAACTTTTCAAAGCATTGTTTTTATCCAATTTACACAGTTTTTACTTTAACTGAAACTGCACAAATTGTAAATTTACCATGTCTGACTGGATTTTTTTTTCATTTTTTTAATATTCAAACAGTTTCAGCTTATGTTATATCGACTTAGCCAATTTATTTTGCGTAATTTTGTGGGCAAAATATATCCGTTCGGGATTATGTGTTTCAGTTTGGATAGGTCGTAAAAAGTTTTAATTTATGAAAATTTTCATAACAGTTTTGTTTTCGGCTCAACAGGTTTCGACCCAAAGTTCCGACGTGTCGCTCGGTAAATGGTTTCCATTTTTATGGGCTGTTTGCGAATTTCATCCGATACAAGTATGAATGAAATTTTTGTAGCTGTAATTTTTCAACTTTTGTTAAGTTATTTTTTCAAGTAATTTTTTCTAACATAATTTTTCAAACAATTTTTTTTGATTTTTCTCTTTTTTTTCATTCATCATTTTGTAGCGCAATGTGTGTTTTGCGTCACAATTGTTGCGCAGCTCCGCTTCGCCTCTGTGTACAGATCTTGATGTTTTTTTTTCAGAAAGTTAATGAAGCGTTTCACGCTTCATTGTGACTTTTCGTAGTCATCGAAAAATGCAAATCATACTTAGTATTTGAACCTGAAAGAGCTCGAACAGGATATATTTTCTTCTAAGTTTGAAGCTTGAAAAATCATTTGAAAATTCAAAAAAATCCACACTTTCCTTGTTCTGTTATCCGTTTTCAACTGTCGGTTGGCTATGTATAGTTTTTCGAGACGGGCATTCATGATTTTTCATCTATACATAGTTTTTTTCAAGGTTAGCGTGCGCGAAAAAAACTCAATTGTTTTAGTCACAGTTGTTCAAGAAGAAAAGAATTATTTGGCACCTGTTCTCAGTAACTTACTAACTAACCGAGCCACAAAAATTTCAGTTAAATAAAAGTGTTTAGTGTTTTGAAACGTTTTGGAAAACTTATCTAGATTCCTTGAAAAAAGGATGACAAAATCGCATGAAAGTTTCAGAGGTAGTCTTATTCCGTAGGGCAAAATAAATATGTTTAGGTGATCACTGTAATTTCTTCTTTCAAGGACCAATTTGGACCACAATGGCCATTTTAATAGAATGTTTACTTTGATCGAGGGCAACTGAACTGAGCTACTCTCTATAAAGATGTCAATATTTGATTTCAAGGGTTTACCAATTGATCACGGCTCTGAAAATGTAAGTTTTCTCGGTCTGCAATAAGTTTTTTGCGGGTGAACTCCATCTCAAATGAGCGGAGTAAAAGAAATGTTCAAGCGAATTGAAATGTTTTCAGCTAAATAATTGAAGGGTTCTATGCGACAATTTTCTAAACACCTTAACAATTGTAAATTTTTTCTCAATTTCACACAGTTTTGAGTATCATTTCAGATTGTGAAAAATGACCTTTCGAGTAATTCTGTGAAACTGATCAGTGATAATTTTGTAAATGGGAGCTGAGATAATTTGCGATTGATGTAATCATGTTGTCAAGCTTGTAAGTAAATGTTGTCGAAACTGTCCCTTAAATACGGCATTTTAGAGAGTAAGACCCAAATATGCGTTCAATATTGTCCACGAACGTATTTACATAGTCCAGCTTGAGATTTTCCAATTGAGCCAAATCTCTCAAATGAGGGGAAAAATATCAAAAATTTAACAAAAAAATGTTCTTGAAATTGAAAGAGCTAACAGTTTTTGCAATTTTTTTTTTCGAATTTTTAATTGCTTAGCACATCTCTATAATTTGTCATTAATTATCTTAGCTGTCTGATAGCTATGTCTAGCTTCTCGTGCGACTCTTATAGAAATGCTCTTCTAAGTAACCCTCGAGAAAATCCTGATAATGCGTTTATGCAAATCAGTAGCTTGGTTTTTGTAGCTCCTCTGCTTGTCAACAAAAAAGTTATAGCCCCAAAAAATATAATTGTGGGGCCCAGTAGTTGTTGGGGGCTAATGAACGACGATGTCTATTGTAGAATATACTGGTTTCTCAGTTGGGAAAGGCGTTCTTGATTCCCAGCGTTGTTCATAGTTTTTGCACATCGTATTCTAATCGTTTATTTACATTTTTGATACAAACACTCAAAGAGTGAATGTCGTAGGGTGAATTTTCCGTGCGATTGTAGGGTCAAGGAATGCTAGTAGAGTCTAAATTGTGCTATCCAATCCAGTCGTGATTCATATTTTAAAAAGGCAAATATACTGCAGAATGTTTGTCAAAATTCTGGCAATCTTATTACCGCAATCTGGTTCACAATTGTTTTCTATTTTTTTAAATCTAATTCATGGATAGTTACTTCAACCCCTGTGAAGTACAAAGAAAACAGCAGAAAACTTTTAAAAGTTAAATATTCGATGATTGTTTTAGAGTCGCTTAATTCAGTGCTTATTTAAGTCAAGTTTGATTGCGTTTTCTGTCGATTGATCAGACTTGCATGCCACGCGGCCCGACTGGTCACTCTTAAAAAAATGCCCTTAAAATATCAATTGAGAAAGTTTTGAAAAATGCAGTTGAAAGAGTGAATTTAATTGATGAAGCTGAAAAATTGGGTAGGGCGACAGTTCGTAACCGTTAACAATTCGTGGCAAGCGAACATTCGTTACAAACGAGAATCCATAACAAGGCATTGGTAAGTAGCATACGCTTGCGTTGCTGAGCTTACAACCGACAGGAGAGGAATACTGCGCGTGATCAGTGATCTTCGCTTAATCTATTCTTACGAATTGCCTTTTGTTAAGAATTGTCGCTTGCTACGAATTGTCGCTTGTTATGAATCGATGAACATAGTTCAGACTCATACATAGGTCGCGATGTTTGCTTTTAGCTTTTTTCAGGAAAGTATCAAAATTTGTTCAGGCTCAAATTTTATGTTTCACAGTAAGAATTTTGAATTCTTTTGAAGTTCAGCTCATTTACTTTGTTTACACTAGCCAACAGTAGCGAGCGTAGTGTAAAAGGAAGTTTATTCTTTTTTCCAACCTAAGTCGAAACTTTTGGTTACATTTCTGGGGCCATCTTTACGGCTTGTTGATAGCATGTGCTTTGACTTTCGATTAGTAATAAGTTAACAGTTGATGCATTTTTCATTAATTATAAGAACCGGAAAAAGCTATTTGTTTCAAACACCATTACAATAGAAAATTCATTTTTGAAATGCTATATTCATACATAATGTGGCTTATGCCTTCGAATTTATTTTATGCAAAGTAAGTGTGGATGCCCAGTTTTTTGATAATCTAACTTATTACCTGCATAATTGTGTCTGTTTGTATTTGGTGCCACTTTTGCTACATTGCTTTGGCAATATATTAAAATATAACGCTGCTGTGATTTTGGTTAGTGTTCGCAAATTTTCAAGGGCTCGTAGCGCAAATGAGAGAACAATGGACTCAAAAACTGATCTTAAGGTCGATTCCGCTACAGAAAATTTCTTTTTCAAGGCTTTTCACCTTTTTTCTTTCAGTTTATAGAGCTACTTTTTGTCGTTTTCTCGCTTCTGTTCGCGAAGCGCAGCTTGCATCTGTATAAAAGGAATGTAAATTCGCACTGTCGGATAGCAAGAGCGTAAAGGTCGCAAAAAACGTGATCGTCTTCTAAGTTCGAAAGTGGATTTTAATAAAAAGAAAACTTACCTATTGATACAGTTTTCTCAAATTGAGTTATTTTCATCAAAAAAGTTCTATGCATAAATTGTTCTTGAAATTGAAACAGCTCTGGGGGTATATGTTTTTATATTGAAAATCGAAAGAAGACAATTTTTCAAAAAACTATTCAGTTGTTTTGTTTCCTTGCATGTTATTTGTTTCTTTTCCAACTGTCTATTGGCTATGACAAATCGAAACTTGTTTTAAGATCAATCCATTTCATATCCGATTTCTCTACTTTCTGTGTTCAGTTTTTTTGTTCCGTTTTCGTATCTGTGCATAGCTCAAAATTTAAGGCGATAAGCGGTTGCTTAAAAGGTTTATAAAGTTCAAGTTCTGTTTCCAATTTCTGGTAGCTAAATCCGCTACTGCATTTAATACAAAAAGCGAGCTAGAGAGCGGAGTGTAATATTACGATCTCACTTTATTTTTGAGCCCACCTCATGTGAAGTAGTGCTTTATTTAGTGGTACTTTTGCGGCTCAGAGTTAGCAATATTTAGCATGTGTTCGTTACGCTTTTTGGTGACTAGTGTTTACCTATTTCAAGCGCACATGAGGGCGTAAATGGGGGGTTATTAGATTCGTAATCTCCAGGTTAGCGGTTTGGTTACAGCATATGGCTAGTTGTTTATTTTCAAAACCTATTTTTGGCTTTTCTTTCCTTATTGCTTTTTTGGAGCTTTTTAGCCGGTGCCCTTCTTGTGTTTGCGGAGTTAAGCTCCGCGTCTGTGTAAATGCAAAAATGGCGCACTTTTGTTTCGAGTCTTAAATGTTCGGTAGCTAGCTTAGTTTTTCACCACATTTTTCCCCGCCTAACTGGTGTTTGCTCAAATTTTGTCGGCATAGTTACCGCTGTGTAAGTTCTGTTTCCATACAAATTCAATGCCCTGAAAATGAACGTATGCATTTGAGTTAATGAAAATTTTGGCTGTCTTTTTAAGTTTTTTAAAGGATTTTTTTTCGACTTTGTCACATATTATCTTTTTGCTGCATACTAACTGGTGTGAGAACTTTTCGCCTGTGTATGAAATCTAGAATGTGTATTAAGATTCAATTTCATTGGATTTATATTCAAAATTTAATTACAGAACACGTCAGTGCTAATCTATTAATCTATTTTGCTCTTACACTGGGAGTCGATTAAATCTGTACTCATGTGTCCATTGTCCAGTATAGTGATGTTTCGTTGCTGTTTTTTTTTTTTGTCATTTCTGGTGTGTCAGATCTCTTAGCTGACGACTGTCGGAAGTCCTTTGGCATCAGTTTGTCTCCTGATGGGTTGGTTGTTGATCACGCTTGTATTTCTGGAGCGAACATCTCTTGAAGCAATGGCTGGATTTGACTGTTTCAGCTGATACTGGATGTCGCTGATGCTGTTTTCCTTCTCGTATGACGGAATGCTTTCATCGTCATCGTCGTCATCTTTGACATCGTTGTTGAGCCGCATCCAATCGGGGTCGCAAATCGCTTTGATTGCGACGACAATCATCATTATGGCGCATACAACGGAAATTCCTGTGGAAACATTTGAGAAATTATAGAACTATAAGGAAATTTTCATGGACATTCAAATTGAAATTGAAAAACATATTTGGAAATTATTATTTTTAAATTGAACTAAATAAGATTCCGCACAATTACAAACTTTAGGTAAGCATTAATGGGCAGAATGATTAGTTCCACTATTAAAGAAGCAAGGGGGTAGTCATAAATTTATAATTTAGTTTCTTTGTCAAAAAATCATCAGAATGACATGATATTTTGAGACACAATACTTTATTTTAGTTGACATGATATTTTTTTTCGATTTTTAACATGGTAATTTATTTTGGTATTGTGCACGATACCTCCCGTGAGTCCGAGTATTCCTGCACATAGAATGGCCACCCACGAGACATCGTCCTGCACAGTAGACTTACATCCCGCTCGGGATTTCTTCTCCGCCTCCGTGCTCCCACAGCTGGACGGCACGAAAGTGTCGTTCCAATTGATCGAGTTAATAGGGTACTGCAAAAGTTACAAATAATCATGTTTTTGATGACAGTACTTGACTGGCAGTTTGTTTTTCTAATTTACCCTAAAGTACTCAAGCTGAATTCCAAAAAAGCAGACGTGCACTTTAACTATGTGAATGTGAACTTGTTTCTGTTCAACTTTCGACTGGAAAAAGGTCAAACGGTTTTTCTCTACAAGCAAATAGGTTTTCTTGATTTTTTCATGAAGTTTCGAGAAAAGTACTTTATTTTTTTTTTGATCAAGAGTAAATTCAAACCTGCCAATCCCACCCGTCAGTCACCCCGCAACAAGTGAACGAATCCTGAACATTATCCCAGTCGGTTCGTTCTTCCGAGGAGGAATCGGAACTCGCCACCGCAATCGTCTCCCGCATGCTTTTATCGAGTCGGCTCTCGAAGTCATCGACATAAAGCATGCTCACGAACATGATTGTTCCGATGATAATGACAATAAGCACGACAATGACGGCAATTATGATCATCATTTTGGGTGTGAGTTCCATTTTTCGCGATTTAACGAGACCGAAAATTCCAATTCCGATAAAAAACAGGCCGATTATCAAGAAGAATGCGATCGGAATCAGGACTGACATGGAGCTCATCTCCATGATTTTGAGCGCATAGTTGATGTTGTGAATCGCAAGTAGGAAAATGTAAGCGGCGATGGAAGTTGCGGTGGAAAGCAACCCGACAACAATGAATATTATGCTACAGAAAACTGCAGTACAGTAGATGAAGCTCGTACAACGAGCCATTTTGACCGAATTTTTCTCAAGCTTACAGTTTTCAAATAGATAATTTGATTATGAAAATATGTTTAATTAACTGGCGAGAGTTTTCGATTGTATGTTTTTGCTCAAGCAGTCACAAGCACGATATAAAACTTTGCCAATTTTTGTTGTGGTTTCTGATGACGCTAAAATCGTCTTCATTATTCAGTTTTTGCTGCAATTTGTTATGAAAGGTTTCTCGGCGGTTTTTATGATATCTGATGATTTTATCATAGGTCGTCTAAACTGCTCAAAATAGTCTCTCTGGTTGAAGAAATTCCAAACTCGTGATTTTTGATTGTCTTAAAAATTTCTCGAACTTTTTTTTTTGCTCCTATTAGTCTATTAACTTTGCTGGCTTTTCAGAGGTTTTGCCGATAGACGTGAAGATTTTCAATTCTTTTTAAGAACTTTTAGTTGGCTAAAATTTTGAAGGTGTTGGATGACCGAAAGCTTTTTTCTTGCCATACGTAGTAAGTTGGGTTGTTTATTTTCAGATAATTTGTCGACTGAGTGAGAGATGTTGACTTCTTCGGCCAAATTAGCCTCCAGGAGGCTCGCTAACGTGTCCTCTCCTTCTTCCTCGGGTGAATTCCAAGCGAGATTTGATTTCGAAATATTTCAAATGACAAAATTTTAAAAAGATATTACGTACTTCAGTTTAAGGTTAATGAGTAGCAAGAGCCATATAAGAAAAGAAATTCTTATCAAAACAAAACCCCCTTTTAAAAAACGACCGCGAAGCAAAAAAAAGTGGGAAATAAGGTTTTTCTGGCGTCTTGGAGGGGGCGCTCAAAAAATCAAAATTAGGTGTGAGCAATAAAAAAAACTTGAATTTAAATCCGAACAGTAAGATAATCGTGGATGTTGTTTTTTAGCGTGTTCATTGTTGTCGAGGAGGCATTCGGCAGCGGGTGCTGCTCCTAGTAAAGTGGAAGTTTTCATCGACGACAAGCCAGTGTTGGTTGAGCCTGGAACCACGGTGCTAAATGTAAGTGACAGTATGCATGATACCAAATCATAAAAAGCAATTTACGTAGGCGAATGTGGTGGATCTAAATGAGCATTTGAGTACGTGAAGTCTAGTACATATACTAAATTGTAAGTTTTCCTATCGTTCAAGGTTCTTGGTTACTATTGATTTTGTCCTAAAACAGGTTCAGCTGGAGTTGTTGAGTAATCAGTGATTTTATGGGAATGAAGAAAATGAGTAACGAAAACAAGAAAAATAGATTTAAGTCATATAGGATGTAGATATATGGTTACACGATTCACTGTCAGTCGGAGGTTGCTAGGCAGACTCCTAGGCAGAGTCCTTAAGTATTTATAAGTTCCTCGAACACGGCTGGGTCTTGTTCAGAGTCGTGAAATCTTCGGTAACTGTTTTGATTCTGCCTGTTAAGTTGAAAAGGTTTATCCATAAGAGAAAGCACGGGCATACGAGCTGTTCAGCTCTTTACCGAGTATCACTGTTACCCTTGGCTAAAAATTACATGCAATTTTTTGGCTGTTTTTTTGAGGTTCGGTAATGTTGCCTCGACCTCAAGCAACGAGCACGGATTATGGCGGGCCTCGAACCTATGACCTTTCCATTGACAAGCAGAGACGTAATCGCTTCAAGGCTGCTACCCTTCACCACCGCAATGTTTTTTTTAAACCTTAGTGTTTTTGTCGATCGTAACGTTTTTTCTTCAGGCCTGTGCAGTGGCGGGCGTTGAGATTCCCCGCTTCTGCTACCACGAGAAACTGTCCATAGCCGGCAACTGTCGCATGTGTCTGGTGGAAGTGGAGAAGAGTATCAAGCCAGTGGCCTCATGTGCCATGCCAATAATGCCAGGTTAGCATGCAAGGTTTCGAAAAGAATTTAGTATCGAAACATATTACTTGAAGGCTTGTTTTTGAAAAAAAAAAATTTACACAAGCAAACGCTTGTTTTGCGCTACGAGTTAACTATTTTCCGACAACTCGCATAAATTACGCCTGTATAATTGCGAGAATATATGGATATTGTATCACATAGGTATGCGTGTGAAGACGAATTCGGAGGTGTCAAGGAAGGCTAGGGAGGGAGTGATGGAGTTCCTGCTTGTCAATCATCCGCTGGACTGTCCCATCTGTGACCAGGGAGGAGAGTGCGATCTGCAGGTCAGTTCTTAATACCGGTTTTCTTTGAATTTTTGAAATCATGTATTAGTTTAGACTAAAACCAATGTTATTACGCTTGCGATTAGCAAGCGTTATCAAATCGGAATGTAGACTTTTATTTGGGTTAACAACTAGTTCAACAAAATCAATTGAATAATTTCTGTTGAATCACAGCTGACATGCTCAATTTCATGAAAATAAAAATTTAACTACTTTGTGGGTACTAGTTACTACAGGGTAGTTTCAGGGAGGACTTGCAAAATCAGCTTTTTTTTCGGCTCACCTGGTGTCTGCTCAAAGATTGTCGGCCTTGTTTCCGCTTCATGAGTTTTGTACTGTTGCTAATTTGAATTACAATTGTCTTGTTTGCCTTTTGCTTTGTTTACCTTGAATCCTGTTTGATAAAAACAGGTATTATGAAAGTATATGGGATTGGGTCCTTTCATTTTATTTTTTTGAGACGCTTTGGAAAATTTAATCACTCTGCAAAAAATTTGTGTTTTTTTCTGAAAACTTATTTTCCGATTTTTAAATAAGGGCTTTCCATAGAAAGACCGCCCACAGTCTTGTGTGCCTGCATAATCCACTGGTCTCTTTTTGCTTTACCCCTCTGTCTACAGACTTCGAAAAAGTCTGTGTGGGGAATATTTGACCGCTATTTTTGATTTTTTTTCGTCTTCTCAAAAACTTATCTACGAAATCTGAGATTTGTTTCATTGAATAGAAGGGAATTGAAAAGCTGCCCCCGTCAGCGGCTACGCCCAAAGTTTTTTTTCACATAAAATTATGGCCTTCGGATTAGTCAAACCGTTTCGGAATTTTTTGACAATTTTTCGAATCTTTTCTCGAAAACTACCCTCCCAAACCTGAGCTTGTCGTTTTAAAGAAGATAACGGCTGATGTGAACCTCTGTTGCATGAGAGGGCACTCGCAATTTTTTTACATGAACAATTTTCGCCCTCAAAGATTTTTTGAGCGTTGTTTCTCTAATTATTGAATTTTACCAAAAAATACCCTCCCAGATTTTGGGCCCAATCTAGAGAACGGTTTGAGCGAAGCTCATTTGCATACGCGACTACGCTCAAATTTTTTGGCACAAAAAATTATGGCTCTCAGAGAAGTCAAAATTTTGATTTTTTTACCGTCTTTTGAAAGTTGACTTTTCTCGAGACCTCTTCTGCCAATGGAAATTACAAGTTGGGTGAATCGATTCAGCATAAGCAGCTACGCCCAATTTTTAATAATTAAAATGCTATGCTTCTCGGAACTTTTTCTGATTTGTTGACCGTTTTTTGGACTTTTCTCGATAACTATCCTGCCAAATCTGATATCATAAGTATAAGCGACACATTATATTGCAGGAAGCTGAAGTTAAAATTTAGTACGCCCAGTTTCTCTTAGAAAAAAGTTATGACCTTCAAGCAAGTAAAAGTTGACCGTTTTTTGGAAATGTTTTGACCACTCGAAAATTACCGTGCCAATTCGCGGGTTAAGTGTTCAATCGAGAAATCTGATTTTTGAAATCTTCTCTACGTGATCGGCCACAATGTGCGTTTAGCAGAAAAAATCTCTCGATTTCGGAAAGTCAATTTTTTGAACTTTGACCATTTTTAGAAACTTATCGAATTTTCTTAAAAGCTACCCTATCAAAACTGAGATGAAAATTTCAATCGACGAAAGAAGCGCTTGCGCTAATTTTTCTTCCAGAAGCGGATACTCCTTAAGAAAAAGGTTATGTTTATGGGAATTTTCCAAATTCACAAAAATTTTCATTCTCACTTATTTTAGTAGAGAAACAACGAAGGTTTTGGGCAAAGTCCAATTTTTGAAATAACGCATTTCGTCCCAGATTAGTATAACAAATTCAAAAGAAGTGTCAAACACGTACCTGTAGCTTTAGCCGGGCCCTAGGTGTCCTTCATCGAGACCTACGTAAATTTTGGTTCACCTAGTTTTTTTCATCATTTTTCATTTTTTTATTTATTCTTTTTTATGATTGTGTTGTATCGCAAGTGGTGCTCCGCTCCGCTTCGCCTCTGATAACTTTTGTTCAGTTCACCATTTTTCTAAAGGTTCCCAACATGGTTTTAGAACCCTATATAAAAAGTGTTCGTGCTTTTCCTAAAACGAATAAATCTGATTTAGTCAGAGGATTTTGGTGAAATTCGATACTGAAAGTGACCAATAACTTGGGCTTAAATTTTGGTATCATAGGATAGGCGAACCGCGCAATCCGGCAGCGCACAATTTTTGGGATCTCATGATAGTTTAACGGGAATGCTAGTATTGGGTAATTCTTCAGGACCAGTCTATGGCATTCGGGAGTGACCGCAGTCGATTCGTGGACAACAGCTTTGAGGGCAAAAGGGCGGTGGAGGACAAGAACATTGGACCCCTGGTGAAGACTATCATGACCAGGTGTATCCACTGCACCAGGTGTATCAGATTCGGAAGTGAGATTGCAGGAGTTGATGATCTGGGAACCACTGGAAGGGGATCTGGCATGCAGGTACGATTTAATGTCACATTCTCATTATTTCTTCTTTTTTCTAACCTAACTCACTAATAAAAGTATTCATTCAAAGTGGAAAGTGTTCACTTATTTGGAGGCACTTTTGCTATAATCACGATCTAGCATTGTAAATTTCATAGCATCTGTTCTCTTTTGTTTGTGGCTAGCGCTTGAGATAAGTTAAGCGTGCGTGGCTGAGTGGTTAGGGAGTGAGATTCTTAATCTCTTGGTCGCAGATCGAATCCGAGACCTAGCCGAGTTTTTACTAATTCGAGGCTTATTTCTACTTTTTCTTATTACCCTTGCGATCAGCAAGGGTATTGCAATCGGGTACTAGACTTTTTCCTCAAAAAACTTTGTCCACACTTCTAAAGGATCTCCTCTTCTAGAGGATCTTCACTTCTAGATGATCTTCTAGTTTCAGCTTATAATTTCAGGTTGTAATTATCTTTGAAAGTTTCAGGTTGTAATTATCTTTAAAAAATGTCTCAATTTTTTTCGAGTTCGCAGTTTTCTTCATAGCTTCTGTCGGTTCAATTTCGGTTTTTTTAAACGCCATTTTTTGATCTGGTAGGATTTTCATCGGTTTACTTTTTGAAACATGGATTTTTGTTCTAATTTTAAAAGTTTTTACTATAACTGAAACTTTGTTTTTCTTTTTTTTAAATTAAATATTCAAACAGTTTCAAGTTATGGTATATCGACTCTGTCAACTTTTTGCGTATTTTTGAGGGAATAAATATCCGTTTGGATGGGTTGTAATAACTTTTAAATTTCGATCCAAATTTTGTCGCCTTTGTTGCCGCTCGTTCAGTTATTTCTATTTTTAAGGGCTGTTTATAAACTTCATCCGATACAAATATGAAGTTTTGTTGCTGTAAGGTTTCAAGTTTTGGCTAGTTATTTTTTAAGTATTTATGTCCAACATAATTTTTCAGAAATATATATTCACTATTCACTATTTTGTAGCCCGATGTTTTTTTGCATCGTAAGTGTTGCGAAGCTCCGCTTCGTCTCTGTGTTGCACTTCATAGAGCTGCTTTTTGTCATGTACTCGCTAGTGTTTACAAAGCGAAGCTTTGACTCTGTGTCTTTACTTCGTTAAAAGGAAGGCAAACTCCGCTATCGAACAGCAAATTTTCAGATTTTCCGGCGAAAAAAAAAACTTATTTATCGAACCAGTCTTTTCAATTTCAGTTAATTTTAGCAAAAAAAAGTGTAAATCATAAATTGTTTTGAAAGTCAAAGGGCTTTTAGTTCATCTATTTTTTTCTTTGAAATTCGAAAGTTGCGATTTTTGAAAAAACAAGTCAGTATTTTTTTTCTGTTTACTTGCGTTCATTGACTCTTTTTCCAACTGTATGTTGGCTGTTCTTGTTTTTCGAAGCGGCTTTTCCAATTGAATTGCATTTTGTTAAAATTGTTAATTTTATTCGTACTTCTATTGAAATTTGGAAATATGATTATTAACTTATTCAAGACATTTTGTTTTACAATGCAATCAATGTTACACATCGGTAGTAGTTATGTTCACAATCGAAGCTGAAGATTTGTTTAAATTTTGGTTCATATAAAACTGCAGTCCCACATCTCGGTCGTCCGGCTGGTTTAGAGCACTCTCGACTGACTTTTTGATTTCCTCCTTCACAGACGGCATCATCTGTTTTCTAGGCATTCTACATGTACTGGAGCCTTCGGATAGTTGCCCAATGTAGGAATCGTTGCCCTCGGATTTAGCTTAAAAATATCATTTTTTTTAAATGTTCAACAATGTATAGTTATAAAAAATGGTAGCTACCACGAAGTGTTGCTGTGACTACTTTTGTTTAACCTGGGAAATAATTTTAGACCAGCTAACCAAAAGAGAAAATAAGATATTGAGCCTAGATGGAGCCCACCCTTGAACATTTAATTTGAAGGCACTTACTTATCTTTTGAGTACTGCTCAAGAACTCTTCCGTTCAACAATTTTCAGCAAAAGATTACTTTTTAAAACAGGAACTGAAGTTTTTTACCTTCAACTGAACTAAAGCGAACAAACCTGGTGTATTGCTTTCCTTAGTTGGACTGTTGTTGTTTTCTGCCTCGATTGTTCGCTGTTGTCGGAACAGCTCCCGTCTAGACAGTCGTTGCACCATCTGGTAAGTGGTAGCTCTGGCGGCGTCCAAAGGGTCTTTAGAGGGAGAAGCACTGGCAATACTGATTTGGTCGCTGCTCTCATCATTGAAGGAACTCTTGTTTGAGTGCGTTTTCTGTCGACGGAACAGGCTTGCATGCCACGCGGCCGCACTGGTCACTCGGCCATTCTAAAACAACATCAATCGAGAAGTTTTCAGAAATGCAGCGGAAAGAGTAGAGTTAATTTTGAGTTGGTGAAGCTGAAGATGGAAAATTGGGTAGAGCGACATTTGGTTACAGGCGACATTTGTAACAAGCTTATTGTCGCTTGTCAATTTACTCGCCTAATTACGAATTGTCGCTTATGAAGAATTGTCAGTTGTTACGAATCGTCGCTTATTAAGAATTGCCACCTGTTATGAATTGTCGCCTCACAAAAAAATCGGACAAAATAAGTTAAAAATCTGGACGAAAATTATGTTCTTTTAACGTTTTTTCTTGCGATGCGAGAAGCTGTCGATGTTGCCTCCGCAGATACATTTCAATAAAAAATACATGTTTGAAACCTCCAAAAACTATGTGCAGAATCCTAGAGCCCAAAAGTGAACCATGAAATAATTTTGATCAGTGTTGTAAAAAAAAGATTTCACAACAAAGAAAATTTCACCTGCACACAATTTTGGGGCGATAAACAAGACTCTGGTTTCAAATGGGACGGAGAATTGGCGTGGTTTGAATTGCCAGCAATTGCATTGGATAATTCATTTGAAGTCACATTTAGGACAGCATTTGATGTTCCAGGAGCCCCTGGTTTGGGCGGGTGGGTGGGTGTTTGCAATTGGGGCGATAGCACAGGTCCATTGGTGCTGCTGTTTTTCTTAACTCGCACACTGCCTGTTGTGGCTTTTCGTCGTATCATGGACACGACAATTTGAAGTCTTTTTTCCTCGTCTTCTTGAGTCCGACCGCATTTAGACAGTCGTAAAAACATCTTGTGCAATTTGTTGTAGAATTTCTGAAATTGTTTTTTTTTTATAAAGTAATATGACATGATTGCTATAACTAATTTAAGATTAATTTATTGGCCGTTGAAAACTCATGATAGAACCACAACTATATTCTTGTTTGCTACTGGACGAATCTGATTAAACGATGATTCATGCTAACATCAGCATATAGCGCAGAGTTCTTTGAAGCGAAAAATTGAAGGTTCGAATCTTGCTCAGGAATAACTTTCAAACTTACCTTATACTTGTAGCATGCGTATAATGGAGAAATGACTGTTTTGACGAGAGAAAACCAGATAAGAGCTGCTATGAGAACATCGGAGTAGAGGCTGTTTTGTGAGTAGTTGGCGGGAGTGAGGGCAAGGACGAGGACATACAGTTGGTAGGGTAACACAGAGATATAGAAGCACAAACCGACGAAACCAATCACCTGAAAAAGGAAGGAATTGATTGAAGCACGTTGAAATTAGTGCGATCGTGTACGTAGATGGACTTAAAAAATGTTTCTCAGTATGTCGATGGAATTGCAACGTATCAATTGTTAGACCAGATTAACAGTCTATATTTTTGGGTTATGGTTTATTCTACGAGTTTGAGTACTTTTCTATCTCAGCAAGTATATACAGGAATTCTTCTAAATTGGCCATATAGCAAATACTTGAATTACGACTTGTTTCTTCAGTCGAAAGAGTTCGCAAGGTTATGAAGAATTGTTCGGAGTCATCGTCGCTAATCCATTCTATGTGGGTTCAGAAAGCTGGTTAGTTTCTCTTGGAGACTTCGTAAGCCTGACATGCGATCAATGCAACTGCTTTACCTGGATAAGATCTGGATCCAGTGCCGTGTCTGAGTTTGTATGGTGCACGTGTGCGTGTGAGTGGTGGTTTCGATGGTTCCGGAGTCTGGTCACTTTCTCTGCCAGTTTGAAGAAGGAGACTAGGTAAATGGTGCCTGGGATCATGACGAAGATCATCCAATCGGCCACTACGTACGGCCAATTAAACCTAAAAAAGAGCATTCTTTTGGAATTGCTTTGCGTCTAACATTTAAAAGGTCAATTAAGAACGAATGGATGCGCTGTATTGAAGATATGCTTATGGAATGATCAAAAAATTAGTTTTAAACCTTTTCGCGTTCAAGTGTTTTTTTTCGAAGAAATACAGGTAAATGTGAGTAGCCGTGTCTGAGTTTGTATGACCAGACTGTTGGCCTCATTATTTTTTTGGGGGCATCAGTGTAAGTTTTGAATTTGACTAGGAATAATTTGAATGTTTTTCACTAACCAGAAGCTAGGCACACACATGGAAGCGTGGGGTATGTATCTCCACATGGGTTGTTGGAATGCTGGGATGTGGAAGCCGGCTATGACCAGACTGTTGGCCACTATGGTCACCACACTCTGTCTTGAGGTCATGATCTGAGGGTACTGAACAGGCTGAGTGGCTGCTATGTACCTAGAGATAGCATAAGGTATCAGATTGAAGGCTGAAAATACTGGATTTAAATCCTGTCAACGAAAGGTCTTGTTCAATTTAGGTCTCTTGTTAATTCGTATTAGAGACTATGTTCATTACAATGAATATATTTCGAGTTGTTTTTGAAATTTTTTCCGATTCTTTTTCTTACGCTCGGGTAAGCGAAGGGTGGTTAAGTTAATGATCTTTTCGAAAAATTTAGTTAAATACAGGAGCGGATTTAGGGGGGGGGGGGGGAGGCGGACTCCCCCCCCCCCCCCCCCTCAGTGATTCGACCCCCTGCCGACCCAAGGGGGGCCCCTTTGGGTCGGCAGGGGGTCGAATCACTGAGGGGGGGGGGGGAGTCCGCCTCCCCCCCATCTCTGTGATTCGACCCCCTGCCGACCCAAAGGGGCCCCCCTTGGTACTTTTTTTAAGAAATCCATTTTTGGCAGATCGACCCTAAAATTTTCTAAAGGCGCCTTTGGCGCCAATATATACTCATTTTGAGGGGAAGCCGCGCGCCAAAAAAACGCAATTTTTTGTCAAAGTTTTCTAAAAAGTGCCCAAAAACGGCTTTTTTGACCTGTTTTTTCAAAACTTTGCCTGCGGCGCTGAAAATTGGGCCAAAACAACGTCTTTTTAGTGCTTTAGGAGAGCTCGGAAAATCAATTTGGTCGACCTAAAAAAAGTCAAAATTTTTGAAAATCCGCCCCCCCCCCCCTCGAGAAAATCCTAGATCCGCCCCTGGTTAAATATTTTAAAATTTCGTCCTAAGTTTCTTCGCACTAAATATATTAAAAGTTTCTTCACACTAAAACGCTGGTTACTTTGTAGAAAAAGCATTGATTGTTTTTGTTTGATGGGTAAGTCCAAAGCGTATTGGTCACTAGATGATTTTACCTGTCGCAAGCAAGGAACATCATGTTGTACGATGTAACCGCATCAGTAAAAGAGAACACCCACGCCTGTACTTTACACACTGCCTGGGATGCCATTGGGTGCTTAGTCACGTCCAAGTTAGACTCTGGAGGATGTTGTAGAATGGAGGGATAAATTGCGAAACCAGATGCGAACACAGCGCTGAAACAATCAAACAGTCTAGAAGCACTATGAAAAACATCGTACAGTTTTTTGGAGACAATATTTATTGTTCGAAACGAAGGTGGATTTAGTGGAAATGGTACCCCTGACTACCCAAAAAGTCTTTAGGGGATATTTTACGATAACCTTTACACTGAAATTTTTCTAAAGGAGCTTTTGGCGCGCGCTCCTCCCCAATTTTTGCAATATATTGTAGCCTAAGGCTCCTATAGAAAAATTTAATTTAGTGTGGTTCTAACAAAATGGATGTCGTAAAATAGCACCTAAAAAGGCTTTTTTCTTCAATATATTGCAAATATGAGGGAGGAGCGCGCGCCAAAAAACGCTATTTGTTTTTCTAATAACGGTCTTATTTTGAATTTTGCCTGTATTTTTTCATTCAACGTAAGGTCTTAATTGTGTTTTGAGAGAGCTCGGTAGTTTTGGTAGAGATCATTCATTTTTCAAATATCATTAGTTTTTTCACATTTTTTTTCTCATTTTTGACCCTTTTAATTATAATTTTTGGCGTTTTTTTCGCTTGCTTGCCAAGCGCAGCTTCGCCTCTGCTTATGCTTGCGATTAGCAAGCGTTATTGGAAATTCTTTTGCTTATTGATTTTTCATGGATATTCTTTGTTTTTGAAATGTGAAGCTTGTGCGATGCCATCACATTTTTTCTAACCTAATTCGCTCATTTCTGCGTTTTCAGTTTGTTTTATTTTCAATTTTTTGATGATTTTTGATAGCCTCAGCTATGAATCCTCAAATCACATTCTTTACCGCTCAATTTCATGGTAAAGCAGTTTGAATTGTTAAGTGTTGAAAGCGAGGTACTTTTTTCAGGAGGTCCTCGGTTTGTATCAAGAAGTCGCCTAAGTCATCTTTTTCAAGCTTCATTATCTTTCATTGCTTTATTTTGTAGTTTCTTGAGTTTCCAGCAATTTTTGCAATCTCAGCAAACTTTAGTTGTGTCGAAATACAAAGTAGCAATTCAAACACTCAAATAATCAAATGGAGATCAAATAAAAAATTGGTTACTGGTTCCTTATTTTTACACTAGCAAGCTTGCGAGCGTTAGTGTATTAGTACGAACCTTCTTTTTTTATCTAACCTAACTCTCAAACAAAAGTGCTCATTATAAGTGGCTGGGTGGTTAGTGCACGAGACTCTCAAGTTCGAGGTCGCAGATCGAATCTGAGTCGTAGCTTAATTTTTACTAATGCAAGGTTTATTTTTAATTTTTGTTATTGAACTTATAGAGCTGCTTTTTGTCGTGTTCTCGCCGCTAGTGTTTGCGAAGTGCCTTGTAATCGGGAACTATACTTTTCCACCCGTAAACAACTTTTCTGAAAAGTTTGTAAGAAATTGAGCTTGCTTTATTAGTGATTCTTCTGCTTTATTAGTGTAACTTCAAGTCTCCTTCCCACGTGGTCTCGAGGTAATGCAGTTTTCCTTATAAATACAAGTTTGTAGATTTTCTGTAAGTTTAATTTTACTGACCCGGGCTTGGCTTTTTTCACTTTTTGGTTTTTTCTCTTGAAAGTTTTTTCGGCCTACATGGTTTCGGCGTACGTTGCATAGGCTTAATCAACTTATTAATAATACTTCAACTCCTAGTTTGATTATTTTCAGAAAAAGGTGTAAAATTTCATCATGTTCAACTTAAATTTTCTGCGCCTTGACTTTTGACATCTCTTTAATTTCAAGTAAAATTCGTTTGCTAAAAGGAAGGCAAGTTAATGGTCTTCATTACGACAATTCAAACTCCGCAAAAAACGTGAATGATTTGGACTTAGTTTATAAATGGCTTTTATTTTTAAGAATTTCCCGCAGCGAAATAAAAAGTATCCATGTACCCGAAATTGGGCTAGTTTATGGGAAAAGATCATAATGAAGATTCAAAAGTGTCAAATTTTTTTGTTTTCTTGTTCAATTGACATTTTCCAAGTTTTTATTAGCTATGTTTATGCGTGCTTTCGAGTGGAGTAAAAAACTCTTTTCAATGGAATTAATCGTGAAGTTTTTCTGAAATTGAGTCAGCTTTAATGTTAAAGATCAGATAATTTAAAGCTTCTGTTTCCGTGTTTTTATTGTCCAAATGCCTGTTAGATGTGTTTTACTCTTGATCGCACCTGGGAACTTGACAATGTTTTGCCCAAATTGTCACATTCTGGTGAAATTTCATTCGGTATTTGCACTATCTAACCTTATGAGGTCGCCCAAAGCTATACAAGCCAGGAAATGTCTCGTAATTCTGGGAACATATTTAGTCCTGCTGATTGCGTAAAGGAATACAGAGTTCACAATTACTCCAGCGAGACTGAATAGAGTTACTCCGCCAGCTGCAATATATCGGAGTTGTCTGTCCCAAAGGATTAAAGGTCCAGTATGAGAACAGTCTCCGTAATCGGAATTTGTCTCAATAATTGTATCATTTATTGTTTCTCTAGCTGTCATAACTAGAAGATAATGGCCAGACTTAACTTCTTTTCGCAAAGTCTGATCGGTAAAAGAAACTGATCGTCAAATGGAGAAATAAAATTAAATTTTAAATCGACGAGAATTTGATATGATGATTTAATTAATGGCAGATTTGAAAGCGAATTATTAAACGGGGCGAGACTTGGCAGAGCTTTATGTAAATTTGAGCGGACAATTTTAAACAATCTCTACATTGTTATAAGTATAACGTTAGGGTTTTCCAGGTCAAAGAAAGCTTTTGCAAATGCAATGCGTTAATTGATGCTACGTTTGCTTTTTCATTTCAATGGCAAACTCAGTTGGTGTTTTTTGGATGGTAGCTTACCAACTAAACGTGTCGTTAATGTGAAATTAAATGAGTTAGATTTGGACTCGTAATGTGTTTTTGACCGGGATGTACTTCATGTGAAAACTGTATTTGGCCACGGTATGTTGAAAAAGCAGAGTACCAAATTTTGTGAGGATTTCTAGTAAACAGCGGGGTCCTAGATCGTCACTTCCGATTAGATAAAAGACTTGCCTTTCTCTCTTTTTTAGACCTAGAGTTTTATGCTACGTGCTACCGCCCACTTCTTTTTCTTTACAATTTTGTTCTTTAATGGTAGAAAAATGATTTTTGTTATAACTGCAATTTCCTAATTAAATTTTGCTCTAATTTACTAAGATGAAAGCAAACAATTTTTCGAAGTTATATCAGAATTTTTTCAAAAATGCCTTCCGGGCAATATATTCAGTTTGTTGGGGTCATTTTTGGAGGATTTTTAACTAAACGTTTCTTTTAATTGAAACAATGAAAGCTCCACTTATAAAAGTGCTATTTGTGTTTCAGATCGGAACATACGTGGAAAAGATGTTTCAATCCGAACTGTCGGGAAATGTTATCGGTAACTTATTTTATTAATTTATCATATCGCACAATAAAAATGCAACCTGATTACAATATTATACTGGCTATAAAATATATTTTTTAACTTGGTCATGTGTTATTTTTCTGTTCAGATATCTGTCCCGTCGGTGCTCTGACCTCCAAACCATATGCGTTCACTGCCAGGCCATGGGAAATTAGGTTAGTTGTACGTCATAATATGTAGTAATCAATTCAATGAGAAGACTTTTCTCGCCAAAAAAGCAAAATTTTTGGTCTAAAAATTGTGTCACCGAAATTTTTCTATCAATTCCAGTGATCGGTTATCAGATTTCGTGTGTATACTTTAGGATGAGTTTTGGTACTATATGGCAAACTTCGTTTTTGGTGTTTCTAAATTTCGCCCCACAAAAGAAACCCGAAGATCGGATATTGACCTACGTGAATTGAAAACAATTTTTTGTCAGTGAAAAGATGTCACATTTTTTGATTTACCTATCATTATTGCTTGATATCTTGTAATAATTTTTACCGCTTAATTTTCAGATTTATTTAACGGAAATTATTTGAAAATACAGTGACTAAAAAGAACGGAAGTTTCAAAGTATAATACTGTCGGAAAATGTCATTTTTAATAAGGAGCAGTGGAGCACAAAAAGACGTGCTGGTTAGTCAGAAAGGAATTTCATAAATTGGTCAACCGGTTTTATGACTGGACAGTATTTTTGATTTGAGTCTGTCGCCTGAGACTTTCTTATGTCATTGAAGTTCAGGCTCAGATGCGGCAAGGCAGTGGGCTAAATCAACAAAGCGACTAATTGAATGGAATTCATCAGTTTTGCCCTTTCTTCTGTACTTCTCGATAAGAGTATGCAGTGTATACAGGTCAAATGTCAAAATTGACATGCTGTGCAATAGTCGTCGGATGGTTTTTAAGAAGCAGAATTGTTTTTGAAAAGTGGTTGAGTGTTTTTGTATTCTAGGAAAGTGGAAACGATAGACGTTATGGATGCAGTTGGCTCCAATATTGTTTTGAACACGCGTGCAGGAGATTTGATGCGAATTGTGCCCAGAAACAACGATGTAAGATCGAAATGTTTCCTGTTCGAAAAATTGTTTGTAGCACTTTGAAGAAAAATGACGTAGTCATCCAAACTAACATTGAAATATTCCTGTGGGTTTTTCTTTTTTATGGCTCAGCGGTCATCTGGAGTTTCGAGAATTTAAGATGGGTTTGGGTAGCTTTTATTTGGCGTCAATAATTTTAAATTTTAAGAGGAGCGAATTAAAGCCTTCAAAAAATCCGTGAAAATTGCATTTTTCCAAAAAAAACGCACAAGGTACTAAATATTTTGCCAAATATGGCCCTTGTGTTGTTTTGGCAGCACTAAAAAGTTTAGAAATAGCTGACTTATAATGAAGCTTGATATAGAAACGGCACCCCCCCCCCCCCCCCCCTCCAGACCCTGTCCTCTCTCGAATAGAAATGACCCAAATAGTGCAAGCATTTCTGCTTAATTATTGTTGAAATCAGTAATCTGATCTGCGAGACATTTTCCATGAGGTACGTCAAAAATTCTGCACTTTAAACAAGAGTTGTTTGTAATTGACAGGATATAAACGAGAGTTGGATCTCTGACAAGTCTCGCTTCGCCTATGATGGTCTGAAGTACCAGCGACTCACACATCCTTTCGTGAGAGACACTCCCGGGTCAGGCCAGCTGAAAAAGTGCTCATGGGAAGACGCCATAACTTCTGTGTCCAATGAAATGTCTTCGGTAAGTAGAACCTAGATGGCTAGGGCGTCATTTCCTATCAATGCATTAGCTCTGCTGCGCTTACATCGGGAACGAGGGGAATACTGCCTGTGAATCAAATTTCCCCGTTTATATCTACTGTTACCAATTTTTGTTCAGGTTTTGGTCTTCTGATAAAACGCAAAGACCTTGACAACCTGTCTTCACATTTTTTGGCGCTCCCTTATTGGGGATATGTGATAAGCGCTGTTTGCACAGCCGTCGGGTCCACCACTGGAAAGAGGCTCTTCTGGATTCTTCGGAGGAAGAGACGTCAGGGGGTTTTCTACCTATCAAACCCCCTGACGTGTCTCCCTCTGAAGAATCCCTCCCTCGCGCCACCAGAAGAACCCTTTCCTAACTAAGGTCCGGTTACAGCCCCTTCTTGAACTCCTACCAAAAGAATCGAACCAAGCGTCCCTCCACACTGCCCCTACTGTACTTCCCACAAGAACACCACTAACTTGACTCCCATAGACTTGTGGCTTCGGCCGACTGAAGTTGCGAAGCTTCTGAAACTCGGTTTGAGCATGATGGACGCGCCCCATCGGGGTTAACAACTACAACAACAACAATACCTCCCTTCACTCACTTTTAATGAAGTAATAGTTGGTTAAACGACTAAATAGAAAATGCCGTGTGCCGGAATATCAGCAGTCACTGATTCTTTTTCAGCTTAAAATTGTGCCGGTTTTAAAATGTTTTAAACGCCGTCAAAATTTTTTCACGATAACTTTTTCCGAGGGACTTTAGCTATTGTTCTAACTTACTAACGAAGTATTAATTACTACATTTTTTCCTGTTTTCGGATACTTTATTTTTGGTATATTGCCAAAGTTTTTGTTTTAGGAGACCCTAATTTTGTTTCTTATTAAAAGTATTATTCTTTTAATAAACAAAAACAATAATTCTGAGAGACCAGAAAACTTCCCGGTTATTTTTTCGCGGCTCTTTGCCACTTCCAAGAGCCTTTGTTTCTTCTATGGTCTGAGATATGATGTCTATATACCACTATTTAATTTCAACTGCTTGTGTCAGGTGGACGGGAATGAGATGGCGGTTGTGGCTGGTGGATTTGCGTGTGCGGAGTCACTGACTGCAGTGAAGGACCTGATGAACAGACTGGGCTGTGAGAATCTGTTCACAGAAGAGAGATTCCCTCTTTATAGTGGGTGAGTGAATGAATCTGTTAGTCGCAATCAATGTCTTTGATTAGATCAACTGGCTGGCCTTTTGGTGTTGCCAAGGTAGTCTTATATTATATATTATAAGGTAGCTTAATTAAGTTGCTGTTTTCTCAAATTGAAAACGAATTTATCATAGCTTTTCCAAATTTGAAGGCAGATATCTTTTTGAATCTTTGGAAACGATTTATTGCACATGCGCAACGTAGTGTCTTATTGTGGTATCTTTTTTCAACCGAATTTCATTTGATAGAGCTGCCTTTTGTCGTGTTCTCGCAAGTGTTTGCGAAGCACAGCTTCGCCTCTGTGTTTAAACTTAGCCCGTTTTAGTAAACCTTTTGAATTTTCTCGAAAACTACCCTGCCAGATCTATGATAAAGTGTTCAATCGAAAGATCATATGTGCATTAGTATTTCTCTCTTCATAGCGGCTAAGCCATAATTTTTGTAGAGAAGCAATGTTAGACTCAGCAAAAGTCCATTTTTTTTTGTTTTTCTGAAAAACTACCCTGCCCAATCTGAGATTAAGGCTTCAGTCGAAAAAAGGCAGTTGGAGTTTTCTCGCTTTTCTATGCGAAGTGCAGATTCGCCTTCGTGTAGAAAAGGTATAAATAACTCGTAACTCATTTTCGTCGAATAAACATTTTTTTTCTAGAATTTAACAAAATTTTTGATTTATTGAGATTGAATTTGTATTCAGAACGGACTTCCGATCGCAGTACCTCCTGAACACAGGCATCGCAGGAGTGGAAGAGGCAGATGAGATCCTGCTGATAGGGACCAACCCCAGATACGAAGCGCCTCTGTTCAACGCCAGAATTAGAAAGTGCTTCATCCACAATGACTTGAACGTAGCAGTTGTTGGACCTAAAGACATGCAATTGACCTATGAGTATGACCATTTGGGAGACAGTGTGGCAGTGGTTGAGAAACTTATCGATGGAAGTCACCCATATGCGAAGGTTAGTAAGCAAAATTAACAACTGAGCTGTTCAGTTACTCGTGAACAACCGTTGTTGAGCGAACTTGAAAGAACAGTCTGGAAGAGTAAATTAAACACATATGATAGCGAGGAAATCTAGTTCTCTCAAATTTTTCCTCATTTTTTGAAAGTTCATCCTGAAAATTGTACTCCAAAATGAAAGTTGAAATTAGACAACCGACACTAATTCAAATAAGCATGCAGTATTTCGGGATTCAAATTAATGCCACTGTTTTTTCTTATTGTTTCAAGTGGGGATTGGAAACTAAGAACTCTTGCAGTACGTTCCTGTGTGTTATAATAGAGACTTCAGAATGCGAAGAAGCCACTGGTGGTGCTGGGCAGTGGTCTCTTCGAGAGAAAGGACTCCGATTACATCATGAAATTGGCCACCCAACTTTGCCTCAAGTATACGCCCAAGGACTCAGGTCATTCGTGGAAGGTGTTCAACGTTTTACACAGGGTCAGCCAAATATTCCTTTTTCTGTTCTAGTAACGCATAATTACACTAGCGTGCAGTGTAGTGTAGTAGTACGAACCTACTTTTTTCTAACCTAACTCGCAAATAAAAGTGTTCATTTATAGTGTTCGATTAATTGGTTCTACTTTTGCTTAATAAACTTTTTGCCGTGTTCTTGCTAGAGTTTGCGAAGCAAATCTTCACCTATGTATAAAGTGTCTTTTTGTGTCTCTATTACTTTGGTGGCCATAAAATGTCGCTAACGTCAAAAACTCATTTGCCGAGATTATATTTAGCTCTTGCTCCTGTAAGACGTGAAGGAGGAGAGGATTAATTCAACCAGACATTACAAGGTATTGCTAAAATAACCATGAGATATATACCTATAAGCTCAGCTTTTTCATCAAAAAATTATCGAAGCTTTAGTGCAATTACAGGCTCGAGGCTCGATTGGATCTTTGCAATCTTGGTAAGCGAGAATTTCTTCGCCTGACATAAGCAATAAAATTAGAGGTTCTGTTCAGGTTGCCAGTCAAGTTGCAGCTCTGGACCTGGGTTACAAACCAGGAGTCGACGCAATTGTAGAAGGGAAAGTGTCCAAACCGAGAGTCCTGTTCCTCCTAGGAGCAGACAAGAACATCGTCAACAGATCTCACCTGCACAAGAACTGTACAGTTGTGTATCTCGGACACCACGGGGACTCCGGAGCTTCTATGAGTGACGTGGTTTTGCCAGGAGCAGCCTACACTGAGAAGACAGCGACTTATGTTAATACAGGTACGTTTAGATTAATATAAAATTTTTCATTTGAATTATCTAAGGCTGAAAGTTATTTTCCAAAAAAGTAATCGAGATTTTGAACCTCAGGTAAAGTAAATAATCAATGGATGCGCAAAAAAAATCACCATATGTATAATTGAATCAGATAAACGAGGAGCTTCCAGAAAGGCGTGCTGTGAGCCGCTATGTATCAGAAGGTTGACCATGGATTTAAGTTGATGAAGTGATTACAAGTTTGCACCTTACCGAAAAAAAATCTTTCTTTTCAGAGGGCCGAGCTCAGCAGACGCGACAAGGAATAACGCCTCCTGGAAATGCACGCGAGGACTGGCACATAATAAGAGCACTGTCTCAACTATGTGGTGTGAAGTTACCCTATGATGACGTGAGGTTAGATTTTTCACAGAATCCACTGATTCTGTTAGAAGCTCTGGAATGTTTAGACTAAACAATAGTAACATTGATAAAAATCCTAAAATTGCTATTTTTTGTTTGGTGGGGTAAATAATTGATTTTTTGTCTATAATCAGTGGTTGCAAAACTAATTGAAATTTTTCGAAAACAATTCGCCTCATGAATATAAAGTATTACGCCAATGTTTTGCTAGCAATAAACTGTCAGACGTTACTTATAAACTTGTTTTTTTTTCCAAATTTTGTAAGCATTCTCGATTAATTCTCTCTTTCAGGTCAATCAGGGCCCGGATGACTGAAATTTCACCCAGTTTGACCAGATATGGAAGTATGGAACAGGCCAACTATTTTTCACAGGCGCACAAGGCTGCCGAACAGGTAGGGTTGATAATGTCCCATTTTTCATATGTAGTTCTAAATAACCCGCCTTTGTTTTAAATGAAAATCTAGAATATGATAGCACTTTTTAGTCTGAAAAAAGCTAAATGGTGTGAGGGCAAAATCTTATGAAAGTTGGTCGACGTCACTTCTGAAGTCTAAATAAGTAAAATCCGAAAGTTGGAGAGTGGAGTGTAGAAAAAAATCCAAAATTTCATCCATTTGACAAAGGTTCTTTTTCTCTATATTGCGTCAATCAGGTTCTGTTCGTTTTCAGTTGTTTAACCCAGCGAAGAGCAACGAAGCAATCAAAACTGAGCAGACGAAATTAGCCGATTTTTACGTCACAGATTGCATCACGAGAGCGTCTCCCACAATGGCCAAATGTGTCAAGGCAGCTGCGGAGGCTCAATCCAAGTTTGGCCAACAGTAATGAAGTGACCCTGAAATAAATTCTAACATTTGTAAAAACTCGCATCTGAAAGTTGACTCGAATCTGAGATCATGTCAAATTTCTGATATTGAATGGCATTTAAAGTAGTTAAATTTTGATTATATCCTCTGCCTTTTTAACCAGAGGAGCATAGTAAAATGAAATGGAAGAGATGGTTAAGAGATTGTTTTAACTTATAGGAGACGCAGCTTTTAGTTGAACTTTTAATTCCGACAAAAAAGATAATTTGTCTAGTAAGTAACGAAAGTAAGAAGTAATCCTAAACTGAAATAGTGTTTTTCATTCCGAGGTCTTTTGAGTTCATTCATTCTAGCCATTTTCCTAGCCGATCTTAAGATGAAGCTTTGAGGTAAATCATATGAAAATCGAGCAAACTTTTTGCAATAGAGGATTTGATTTTTGGAATCGACTTTACACGAAGAACTTTGAATTCGGGTGTTTTAGTTTTCTTCCACGCAAAATTAGATATTAAATGTAATCATCAGAATGTGTCGAGTGATAGATTATCATATTTACACAAACATAGCTTTTGTTATAGTATGAACTCTCTTTTTTCCAACCTAAGTCGCAAATATTGTTGCGATGCAATTGCTGCGACAAAATGTGTTCAATTTGAAAGTTCATTTTGATGACCAGATACAAAGTACAGCCAATGCTAAGGATATTAACACAGACTATTATATTACAAATAGCACTTTGGCTTCACGACTGCATGGATCTGTAACGCAGAGGTAGGCAAGGAGACCAGAAACAAAATAGGAGGGCTCGAACCTGGGAAGGGTTGGATGTTTTTAATGATATTTTTTCGTATGGTAGTTAAAATGCGTACGCTATAAATTGAGGCATGTTAGTTGGTAATTTTTTTTTTCAAATTGAGTGGAATGCGTCATGATTTGCTTAGCAATTATGCAGACTCATAATTGGCGTGCGTCACTTAAGAAATTTTGTAGACTCAAAGTTTTACTAATTCAGTTTTTCCAGTAGCTTTATCGGTCATATTTTTGCCTATGTATGTGAAGTGCAAATTCGCTTCTGTGCAAAACCCTTTCAGTCGTGATTCGAACGGCATTAAGAAATTTTTGCAGTTGTCCAAGTATCGAGAAAAGCAGGTTTAAAGATTGATTATTCGTCTAGTTTCGAGCGAAAAAAAAGCGAGCGAGAAGGTTACTTTCGTTTTTCAACCAAGAGAAGCTACGACACAAATAAGCATCGTAATGGTACGAGTGATATATCTTATTAAATTCCTTTCAGCCCCATTTCAAACGACTTTAAAAATTTTTCAAAAAATTGTTATTGTGTAGAAAACTGTTTTAGTTCAATATCGATTAATTAAGGCAAGCAAGCAGAAATTTTATATAATATTAGGTCATAAAATTTTAGTTTCATTCATGTAAATAAAATTCGAAAGTTTTTTATCGCTGTCTTGGGAATGAGAAACTTAAACAATCCAAAAAAAAATCAGAAAAAAAAGAAGAAAAAAAAACGACACTAATTTGAAAAAGAAGAAAAAACATTTTTTTAAGAACATGTTCGGAACATTCTGTGCTACTTATACAGCAACCGGCTATCCTCGTTTTTTATCCAACTAAATAATGATTATTTAGCTTTGAATTGATCGACTTTAATTTTTAAGGATAAAAAGGGCGTCGTTTAAAGATTGATAGTATATTTTTGTTCGGGTGTAGGCAGGAGGTGAGTGGAACGAAATTTAATTTTTTTTGTCGGCTAAAATACCGATTAAAATCTTTTGCCGTAATGCCAACTAATGCTATGATTTGTCTTTTTGTCATGTGTTTACCTATAAAAAATTGATTTTTTTTAGTCTAGTGCTTACACATGCCGAAAAAAACTATTTGTTTCAAACAATACAATAATCATAAAAACTCGACTTCAAAATTTTTTCCCAATATATACTGCAACTTTTTGAAATATTGATTTTACAAAGATAGTGGATTTATGCTTTCCATCATGACATGCAAAATAGTGTGGATACCTTGAGATTGTTACATTCTAAATTGTTACATGCAAAATTGTGTCTATTTGTATTTGGTGCCACTTTTGCTGCTTGGCATTGGCAATTTATTAGCATTGGTAGTTGCTGTATTGGTGACTAATGTTTGCTGATTCTTAGGCGTTCGTGGCGGAGAGGACGGAGCGTGAGACTCCAATATCGAAGTCGCAGTTTCGAAGCCAATACGTACCAAATTTTTACTGCTTCGTGGCTTTGCTATTTCAGTTTTTTGCTATTTCACTCTATAAAGCTGATTTGTCCGGTTCTCGCTATTGTTTGCGAAGCGCAAGTTTGCCTCTGTATAACTTTTTTCAATCTAATTTGCACAAAATAGCGCATTTTTTGGAGGCATTTTTGCTGCATAGCATTTACAGTTCGATAGCATGTAATTATTTGCCTCATAAAGGGCTAGTGTTTTGACAATTTCAAGAGCACATGATGTAGATGAGAGGAAGTGATACTCTCAATTTTCCGGCATGTGAAGAAAATCTTATTGAAGACGTATTGCTGTCTTGTCTTAATTTCATTTTGAAGCCAACTTTTAGCCTTTTGTCGCTTCTAATTGCGAATTGCAGTTTGCTTCTCTGTCGGTATTTCCAATAAATTTCTAAAACGTAGGAACATTCCGTTTATTTTATTTCAGCTCTTTGCCATACGGCTCCGCTGCTCCTTTGTTTATATTGTTTCTCCTTTGTCTCAGTTTTCTGGTTTTTGTAGACAAAAAAGTTAGTCAACAACGGAATTTTTTAAGCCGTTGTTGCAGAATTTTTTTATGCCGTTGTTGAATAATTTCCGAAATTTTTATATTCAATTTTCTGTTTTGGCTCTTTATTGATAATGAAAGAAGTATTGACAAGTGTGGTCATTTGGGGAATATGAAAAAACAACTTGAAAATGGAACAAAAATTGAATGGGGGAGTCGTAGACTTTTTTTTCATTGCTTGGAAGAAATCAAATTCTGAAGTAAAGATTTTTTGTCTTGATGCGTGAATATCAAATTTACCTTGTGCTTGTGTTTTCATCTCTTCTTTTTTCAAGCAGAGTCATTACGACAAGGACTTGGTTCTTCTTTTAAAATGTTTTAAGTATTGTCTCTGGTATCCATTAACATACAGACACAAAATTGTGCACCTATCCAGGGCACAGTTTGGCCTCGTAAGGGTCTTATACTGCACTTTTTTGCTATGCTGCAAACTGTACTTCTGCGCCTTATAACAAAACTATTAGCTCTCGCTCGACTAGTTGTGTTGTGGTACGAAAGTTTATAGTTCTGGAAAGTCTCAAAAAAGAGCTGAAAATGAAATCATTGTTTTGACGTCCTTGAGTTCTCCAAATTTCTGTTGATTGTGTTCTTTTTTTTAATTTAATTGTTTTTCAAAAAAATTTTTTCAAAAAAAATATAAGGATTTTTTTGAGTTAGTAAAATAAAAAGTCAATAAAAAGTCAATTTAATCATAAATAGTAGGTTCATTGAACATAGCTAGCAAAAAATGAACAACCCTAAAAACTAAATTTTTTTGAATATTCAGTAATTGGTTACGCACTTTCTGTTTTTTGTTGGATGTGATTACATCGATGATTTTTTTTGTATGAGGAGTTTTAAGAGTTTTAAGAAGTTTTCCTCAATCTCTTTCTCTCTTTTTCTCGTATACACCAACAGTCACAGTTCAGCAAATACTTCGCGTGATAAGGAATCTAACACTTATTATAATTCTGAAGTCATTTTTTCAAAGGTTCAACAAGAAGGAAACTGTGCTGACGAGAACGCCAATCGAACTGGTTTTCTTGGTTCGTCAACTTCAAAGTAAACAGCAGAATGGTAGTCAAATTGTTCATCTCAGGAACGGTTTAAATGTTTTGTAGTTTTCCTGGAAACAGCAAGCGCTCGATAGAAAGAATAACTTCTTTCTTATGACTTAGCGCTATCGCTGAGGCATTGATCTTTGTTTGAGCTTGAAAACTTGCAAAATACAATTCACTTGAGTTTCAAACTCTGTATAACAACTTGTGAGTCTAAAATATCTGAACAACTCAGAAAACTCAAATATATAAACAAAATTAGAAACCGAGACACTTTTCATTGCTTGACCAGATTAGAGAGGTTGCTATTTCATAATTTCTTAGCGCCAGATTTTGACTGCCGAAAAATTCGTAGGTAGTCAAGTCTGGTATCATATTGAAGGCCCGCTTGAATGTGGTTTGATTCCAAAACTTTTTAAAATAAAATTTCCCAGTTCTAAAAAAAAACTGGCCCGAATTGTTCTGTTTCTAAGACCAAATGACATGCAATTACGAATAAAAATGGCCTTTCATTTAAGTTGAAAAACAAGTTTTGCTCTAAATTAGCGATCGTTAATTCTTATTGTTAGTAATGAAGAGAGAATTGGTTGGATGCAATTCATTGTTTATTGTAGTCGATATTTTTGGTTGTGAAAAACTGATTATCACGTGCATTATTGGGCAAAAAGTTTTCATTTTACCCTGAAGTCAGAACTTGACGTGCTTAATTGCAATTGATAAATTTTTATTAGCAGATTTTCTTCTCTACTATACTTGTTTACTGTTGTTAAAACCATAGTTACTAATAGCTGTTAAAAAAAGTCAGGCACCAAATGTCGATATCACTGTTGTCTCTACTGCTGTTCACGAGTGCATCTATTGTTCCATGTGAAGCCTTCTTTGGAAAAATATTCAATGGGATCAAAAACGTCGTCAAGTCTGTTTGTGAGATAATCGTCGCCACAGGTTACAAACAAAAGTTTATTGATTTAATTTAATTGAAACTTTCAGTCGTCATAACTGGAATGGAAAATCGGCTTTTATTATAGCTTTTTTGCTCTTTTTCTTTTCTCTCCCACTTGCAAAGTTTTACTAGTAAACTTACTGTTCATTCACATTGTCCGATTGTTACAAAAGTAGGCAAGCTGACAAATTAGGCCACGAGAAACATATTTGGTCTTCCCTGTTCGTACTTTAAAACATACTGTGATAAAAATATCAGCGTGAAGAAGTGATTAAAGTGTTACAACCCTTCTTTCGTGTATGTTACCGTATAACTGTTTTTTCTTCGCTTTTTTTGTCAGCTTAGTTGCAACACCACCAAATCTACCCACAATTTGGTTTTATCTCAAAATAAGAACATTTTGGCGC